GGGCCCCAGAAACATAGGATATGGACCCAACAGCCTGTCATGGCAGGAACCTTGCCCTCTAGTAACACATGGCCCGTGGCTGTCCCGGACCCTGACCCATCACGAAGCAGCAGGTGTATGGACACCTGTAGCAAATGCTAGAGATGCCGTCTGGATGAGACCTGCCTTGCCTTCCAGGGGCCTCCAGCCCGGGAGAGGAGACCGACTGAAGAATGGGGCATTACGGAGTTGAGCGGAAGATCTTGTGGTAAACTCAGAGGCGTGAGGTGGGGAGGGGGGCAGCTGAGGCAGGAAGGGCGTGGGAGACGGCAAGAGTGACGCCGAGGTGCCAGAAACGGCCAGTATGTTGGCCGGTTGATTAAGTCACAAAGTGCAAATGGCAGGTGCTGAGTGGGAGAGGTTCACTGAGGACCTTTTGTGTCACTTGAAAGTGAACTGTTTGCAGGGAGAGACTTAGCGCAGGGTTCCCAGCTGGAAAATGGCATCATCCACTCATTTATGGGGCAGGCTGGAGGAGCAGGGTGGTTTTTTTTTTTGTTTTGTTTTTTGTTTTTGTTTTTGTTTTTTGCACTTGGAAGAGAAAGCCTTGGCAGGAAAGAAGGAAGGGAGGGAGGTCCGCACTGCCCAAGTGCAGAAGAGCGCGATCAGGCAGGAGCAGGCAGAACACGGTAAGGACTGTGATCAAATAGCTTTAGGAATCTTAAATTCCATAATCCTTGGCTTAGAGGGTACAACACGTATCTGGCATATTAAAGGCCTTGAGAAGGTCTACAATAAAAAAGAACTTATTTAACTGTATTTACTTTGGCATTTCCCAAACTTACTTGATTATGATGCTTTAAAAATGTTTATTAATATTTTGCAGAACATTATGATTCCAAGGAACACAGACTGCGATATACTGGGGAAAAAAAAGTCTTGGTTTTAGAAGCCTGGAAAAGTAAAACCACCAGAGTCCCACCTCTGGAATCTTCCCCAAGCCACAGTCATGGGTCTGGCTGGTTTCGACGGCCACACAGGACTTTCCTGGGCCGTGGGCTTCGGAACTGCTGGAATGTAGTTCCCTCTGATCAGCAGCAGGCAGCGGAAAGACAGGCCAGCAACGTGTGGTGAGAGCTGCTGAGACCAGGGGCAGAACGCAGAAGGCAGAGAGCCTGGCTCGGTAAAGTTGCTTGAAAATGAACTTTCTAGGTCCAGAGGTACAACTGGGAGCCTTTCTTTTCCTTCTGGAAAGCAGGGCCTGAGAAAAACAAATGCAAGCCAAAGGCCCTCTCTGCCAGGGGAGTGGAGCTGGAATTCCTACTATTCTGGGAGGAGGGGGTACAGGCCCTGCAACGGGGAGTACCTGAGGAATTCTGGGTCCTCGGTTTTGGTCAGTGGCAGCTAGTTCATGTCCTAGGACCACCGTAACAGATCACCTCACACCTGGGGGCTGAAAGCAGCAGAAATGTATTCTCTCAGCTCTAGAGGCTGGCTGCCTGGCTTCCGGAGGCTTCCAGCCCTCCCTGGTGTTCCGAGGCTGTCTGTTGCATCCATCTAATCTCTTCCCAGGGCCACCTTCTCTGTGTGTCTCTGTGTCCTCTCCTCTTAGGGACACCAGACGTGGCTTGATGATCTAATCATCAAGGTCTACGAACACCCTATTTCCAAATAAGGACAGGTTCTGAGATTCCAGGGGACGGACATGCATCTCCCAGAATTCAGCCCCTACAGGAGAGCCAGCAGTCCCCTCTGCGGGCTCTGTGTGTGTCTCAGCCGTAGGCTCTCTCTCTGCCGGGATCCACTGGGTTCAATCCCGGTCCGAGGGTCCAGAGCTCAGGGGCTGGGCTGCCCACGCAGCCCCAAGACTCTCCAAGCATGACTACTACTCTGTAAAAAGCCACTGGCTGCTCACCTCCCAAACACGGCCCTTCCATTTCCCTCCACTGCATCTGTGGTATAAGGATCAAGTTGCCACAACCATTGACAGTTCAAGGCCAAAAGACTGAGAGGTCAGTCTCATGATCAAAGGGACAAAGCGGCAAATGCTTGGCCCAGACCCAGGCTCACAAAGGGAGGTTTTCCCTGGCCCCCCATCTGGCCACTGGTTCTCCAAGGCAGAAGTGAGCTGCTCCCGCCCTGTGCCTTCGGATGGGAGCTGGGTCTTTATGGATGATCGAACTAGCCTTTGCCCCTCTCTGGGAACGGGGCAGTGAGTTCCAGTTACTCTGCCTCAGTAGGGACTTACTTCTCCGTTCAGTGTCCTAGTGGCCTCCAGCAGCTTCTTAAGGCTCAATTCTCACCTAGAAGGGCCAGCTGCCGAGTTACTGGGGACTGGGGAGGAGGGGGGAAGGAGGAAGTTGTGGAGGCAAATGCCAGTGAAAGGGACAATGTCTGTGGAACGGTCTCTGGGGTCTCCCTCTCCCTCTGCAAATGCACACTGCGTCCCCACCACTCATCAGAAGCCCTGCCTGGTCTTAGTCTTTGTTCACAACACATGGGCCCACAAGGTTGTTGGAGATTCGTTGAGTGACTTTAATCCCACCAGGACTCCCAAGCAGACCAGGCAGTGGGAGCTGCTGGACAGGAGAATCACTGAGACCAGGGTTCTAAGGACCAGCCGTCCCAGGCCCTGCCCTACCGGACAGGGAGCAAACGCTGTCCTCTGCCTGCATCATACCTGGAAACAGAGCCACCTCCGAGGTGGCAGGAGGAAGCCATGTCTGTCCCAGAGCCTGTGATGGAGGGATGGAGAGGGCTCTGCACACGGACATTTAGATTCAGCCGACAGGTGAGGTTTCAGTTCCCCCAAAGGACCTCCTATTCCGTAAAAAAAAAAAAAAAAAAAGGACAGAAAATAGAGCAAGAGCATCCTTTGGCAGTTTCCTTACAAAAGGGAGAGTGCCCCCAGCCAAAACGGTATAACCTCTTTTAGGCCAATAAATCAACTCGGAGCATCCAAACATTCAACACGTTTTTTAAAATAATGTTTTGAAAATCACTTTCTTTCTAGTAGCTGATGGCTAAGAAGACAGTTCTTTAAATCCTGGCCCTGGTGATGGCTGGGCCTTGCTGTGCCTAGCTGGCGGACTGACGCTGGCCTCGCCCCAGATGAGGAGGGCGCTCAGGACTGCAGCTCAGCTGCAGAGGGAACCCCTCAAAAGTGTCCCTGATCACGTTTACATGGCCAGGTGGAGGCCGTGCAGGCTGAGGCATCAGGCAGGCCTGTGTCTTACCTTCCAGCTCTGTCACTTACGAGGAGGTGACCAACGGTCCCGTGTCGCCTGACACATCCCGGTTTTCACATCCCAAATCCAGAGTCACAGGAAATTCCTCATTTGGGGACAGTCCAAGACAGAGGGTCACCCCAGTTGTCCCCAACATCTCTGAACCTTAGTTCCCCCTTCTGTGAGTGGGGGCAAGACTGTCAGCCACGAAGCTGACAGTCAGGGGACAGCCTGCGTGGCAGGGCGTGCAGATGCGCACGCAGCTTCCTGGGAGCCGAGACGCGTGGGCTCCCAGGGCGGCGCTTACCCACCAGAGCAGCCGCACCAGGGTCGCGCAGGTATTTCCCATCCCTGACTCATGTCTGCCTCCTCCTTTCCTCACTCCCTTCCTTGTGTCTCCGCCAGCAGCAGTTTGCCAGTTTCCATTTGACCATATACCGCAGACTTGTCCATCCTTCACTTCCGGTCTCTGTTCCGCTTCCCGGGTCCTCCAGCTGGATTCCGTGCATCAGACACCGGGCTCCCCGGCCCAGGATTCTCTCCCCAGTGTGGTCATACGGATTCACATCAGTGACGGCAGGGCCCACCACCGGCTTAGGACGTTAGTATTCTGGGGCTTCTACCTGCCTCAAGTAGTAGGGCTTAATTAAAGATGCTCAGAGGTCAGAAGACTGGAACACGAGGATTTTATCACAGCAGAACGGGTTAGGAGGTGTCTGGAATAAAACTGACATTTGCTTTAACACGTTGATATGAAACAGCTCTTGGATTTAAGTTTTTCTCTCATCTACTAGTGCCTTTTCTCTCAGAACTGTCAGGAATACAACTAGGGTCACCCCGGGTGGTTCACGTCGTACGTAGTTTCCTAGACCCAGCGCCACGGGAAATTGGGCCTCTACGGGGAGCCAGGTGGGATGACACTGACACAACCTCTTTCTGGAAAGAGGCTGGTCCAAGTGCACCTGCTTACAGGCAAACCGCAAAGGGCTCCGTACCGATCTGCACCCAAAGGGCAGCCGGACACGTGAAGGTTCATCCCAAGCAAGCACGTGGGACCCTGAGCAGGAGTGGGCCAACTTTCCTGTAAGAGCCAGACATTTAAGTATTGTAGCTTTTCAGCCATATGGTCTCTGCTCCATCTACTTGTCCCTGTTGAATGAAAACAGCCACAAAGAACAGATGGGCATGACTGTGTTTCTGTAAAACTTTATTTACAAAATGGGCAGTGAGCTGGGATTTGCTCCCGGGGTCTGTCCGCAGACCCTTAACCTAGAGGGATGGTCACAGTGAAGAGGCCCCTTCCTGCGCCGCTCTGCCTCCTCCCTCTGCCTCCACATCAGCCCACTTTACTTCAGCTTTAAAAATACCGTTTAACTGCGGAGAAAATGGACTACGTTTTTGAGGCAGTGACTGAGGAATGTCTTTTTATCTGATCTTAAATTCTCAACTACCTGCTCCGGCCCAGTCTTTCTTAAGTAGCGCATCTCAGGGTCTGGAACAACCCTCTTCCCTAAGCGCACTTGGCTGTGCTACATATAAACACGCAAGAAGGGAGGGTGCCCGGGTGGCTCAGGCCGGGCTCTCTGCTCCGCGAGAAGCCTGCTTCTCCTCCTCCTGCCGCTCCCCTGCTTGTGCTCTCTCTCTCTGTCAAATAAATATGGAAGAAGGGAAAGCTAAAACCACCCAAATTGCCTATGGAACCCAGAATGTCTCTCCTTCTCTGGTATTTAGAACAGTTAGCGTGACTCTTTCTTCTCAGTGTCCCCCCAAAAGTTAGGGGTGGTAGAAGTGTTTATTTGGACTTTTTACGGAAGAGAGCCAAACGCTGAAGGAAAATGCTTAAACTGCCTGAAGGGACTCATGTGAGAGCTTCAGAATCACGGGACATCCTGAGTGAGAGAAAAGAGGGGCTTTCCGGGGTTGTTTTCGGTGGGTCCTGCACAGCTGGAAAAGCAAACACACAGAAGGATCCTTTAAGGACAGGAAAGACAGCAGGACGATCTGCTTCCCCAAGTTCCCTCCGGCCTGCCCAGCTGGTCTGATTCCCGCAGGTCTCAGATGTGGGTCCTAGAGCCCAGCTTCTTCCCTTCCCTTCTTTTAAAACAGCAACACCTTCAAGTGTCATCAACTCAAAATGCCTTTTCCCTTGAATGGCAAGGGTCCTCTCTTGCACAAATTGTTTGGGACCAGTCACATCGACTGCACGCAGAACAGGAACCGGAGGCCCGCAGGCTGCTCCAACATGCTCCCGGAGCACCCTGGCCTGCCAGAGCTTCACTGTTGCACAACCTACGAGTCTGCACCTCCGCACTCCCCTTCCATCCTGCCCTTCCATCCTGCCCCACTGCTGAAGAGAATGTGATGCAGGGGGGTAATCACCGGCACCTAACACTGTCCTCGTGCAGGTGACGTCTCCAGGCAGCAAACAGCTGAGAGGGGAACTGTTTTTGTACCACGGTCTGTTCCATGGACAAGCTGATTGGGAGAAGCAGCGCGGGATTGGCTTGTATAGACGCTGCTCTGATTTGCTCTATTTTAGAACAGAAGGTCCTGCTACCACTTTCAAAGCAATGAAAATACTTAAAGCGAGACCAGCCAGGAGGAGGGGGTTACCCAGCAACAACCCCCCCTCCACACCACGTCTTCAAGATCTGCTAGACTGGCTGCCAAGGGAGGGCCCAGGACCCTGACAGCACTCCCATGGGTACGGCCACAGAGAGGGCCATGCTGCTCCAAAGTCACTGTCACTCTCATCCCAGTTCTGGCTGTGGGTTTCACCCTGGGAAGCCTCCTTTGCTCATGCATTAATAACACGAGGTTCCTAACGATCCTTCATAAAAAGACAGGTGAGGTGCAGCTGGGAACGTGATTCATCCTCGTTAGCCTCTGTCCCTGCACGCTCAGCTTCCAGCCCACAAGGTCCCCAGGGAGAGGGGCTCTCAGGTTGTCTGGATGGGACTTCCAGTTGTACTTTGACAGACTGGGTCTCTGTCTTGTGGTGACGAGCAGTGACCACCGTCCTACCCAGCTGGGCTGTGACATACTTCAGGGCCTTGGCGTCAGGCACGGGTCCCGCCTCCAGCCCACCTCCAACCCCAGCAGGCGGTGCCTCACTACTTAGTTGTTGGCCTCAAATCCAAACATATTTAGTTTTCAAAATACCCCACTCTAAAGTAAGATTTCTTTTTCCCTCTCTGCTTACTAAGGCCATCATTCTTTTTCCCTTTAGGTAGCTGATGGCTGCATAAACAAAATATACATGGGCAATCATTTAACCACAAGGAATACAGAGAGGGCTGTGTTTGCCCGTGGCCCTTAGGAATTCCAGGGTAACCCGCCCAGGCACAGAAAGGACAAGGAAAGTGAGCCAGTTACAGGACTAATGAATGCATCCTGGATTTCTTCTACAACTTTAGCCGAAGTGCCAGCCTGAGTAAGTGCCACTTACTCAGTGGGGATGAGTAAGCCCATCCCCTCCGTGGATCTCAGTTCCTTGTCAGAGCGGATGGTTGATGCCTAAGGGCAGAGGCCATGACTCTATTCAAAAATCCTAGCTCCTGGTGGGTGGGAGGAGATGCACCACCCTGGACATCCAGGAGGGGAGACAGGAATGCCACTCCCTCACCTCCCTCCAAGAGCCCTGCTCCCTTGGGAACTGAGGCAGATCTGCCCACGGTGGGGGCATTTGGTCCAATCCTGGGACTCCTTCTTGGAGGGTAAGAAGCTGGAATGACTCCTGAGAAGCCAGCATGGCCCCTGACCTCCTGCACAGCAGCTTGGGGAACACAAATGCCTGGCTGGAATTTCCTTTTTATTTATCATTTTGGTAAGTTATAGACAGGAATAACTTATAATAGTCACATCTCAGATACTTCAGTTGTTGGACAAACACAAAGACAGAAAATTAAAGCACAGAGCATTCAAAAAGGTGGTTACTATAATACATCAAGCGTTAAAATTCAAAATACCCAAGACCCCACATATTAGAACAAAACATAAAGTTTAAAATTTCCCTATGAGCCTACGAGCCTGAAATTACAAAATTTAGCAACTGCCTAAAACAGAGAATCATGAGTTCTATGTTCTCAAGGTAAGAAACAAGGAATGCTTTGGTAAATCATCTTTACTACTGAAATACGTCTGCCACCTTTTGAATGATTGTATGTAACACAGGCACAGCACAGATTTGAGAGTAAATCTCACAAACTTCTCTCACTATTAGATTTTTCAAATATCTTTCCATTCAGTCAATGAGAAAAACAATTCAGTCACCTGAATTTTAAGCTTAAAAAAATTAAAAGTATTTCCAGGGACTCTTAAAGCTGCCTCCAAAAGTATAAAATGTTCTACCCTTTCAAAATCTGAAACATTCGTGTTTTTTTCGGAGATAAACAGGACGTGGGACTTGCCCCTAACTCTGTAAATGCTCATTTGCTGCCGTCCACGGCAGCCTCAGAAACGTGGGCAGCAGCTCATGGCAGGGTCGGCATCGTCAGCAGCCCACACCACGACCTTGACCACCGCGACTGGCCCCCGTCCTGCTCGCAAGGCCAGGCTCCCCAGCACATGTTGACCTGTCACTCTTCGGTCCGTTCTTGCTTGGGGGGCCCCAGCTCACTCAATAAATCTCTGCCAGCTGCTCCAGCTTTTGAAGCAAAAAGAGCCGCTCCCTGTTTAAAACCGAGGTTCTTCAAACTTCGGGCATAATCTGCGTATATAGCAGAGATGAGTTTCTGTAAGCCACAGTTAAGGAAAAGAAGGCCAGAGAGAGATGTGATTACACACCACCAAGCTCCCACAGACAGGAAAAAACCAGCTCTGTGGGGCTACTCAGAGGGACAAGGGGGCCCAGAGGAGGGCAGCAGGAGACAAGAACAACACAGCCGAGCATGGGCACCCTTCCTGGGGGAGGGTGATTCCTGGTTGGGGGAGGCGAGGTCTCAGTCTGCAATGTCACCCACTACACTTTGCAGAGCTGAGTACAAAGCACCTCCTTCTAGAAAATCCAGCTAACATCCTCCTAGACTACCTCAAAGCCTAACACAACTAAAGACTACACAAAGAAAGAGGACTCACGTGCACACTGTCTGGCATCGGAAAGGCTGAGTGGTGGGTGGTCTGGGGGCAGACACCGCTCAGGGAGAGGTTCTGAGGACAAAGCCTGCCTGGAGGCGTTGGGTTTCGGGCAGCCCTGTTTCCCTGACGTTGCAAGCAGCCCCTTCCAACTAGAGGCAGCTCCACCAGTGCCTGCATATGGGACACTAATGAAATTCAAGTTCAGTTTCATTTTCTATAACAAACAAAACAATATACACACAGAAGAGCAAGTATCTGATGTGTAGAAATGAAGATGTGATGAGAACAAGCAAGACTCAGCAAACTCAAGCAACTGGGGGCTGTGTCCTCAAGCCCGACCCTTTCAAAGAGAAATGTGGGTGGGACTCAAGGGGCGCTGGCAGCCGGCCACTGGGCCCTGCCTGCGTGACACGTATCTTTGAAGTGCTGAGTCTGGTTCCACATTAGACTGTCACTGTGGATAACAATGGCTTTTTTATTTATTCCAGAATGTATATTCCAGATAAATATATAAACTTTTAAATATTGTGTTATATATTTTATATATATTTTATATATTTTTTTTATTTCACGGAGTGCATTCTCTTAAATAGTACTGTTTTGAAGTATCAGGCTCCTACACCTTTCCTAAATTATTTCCTTTATCTTTTTTTACATTCAAACAAACCTTCACAAAATTCGGAGTCCCATCCCTTTACAGCCTCTGCTGCCTCCCCATCCGTCTTAGAGCTGATGCCAGCAACGCACCCATTTTCTTCCTGATTCTCGGTCATTTCTCGCTCTTCTGTGACTCTGGCAAATCTGAGTGTGGCTCGTCCCTGATATGACACAGTTCTTGCCCAGGCAGTACGACAAAGAGGAACCCACATGTGCCGTCTGTCTCCTCCTTGGCATTACCATCCCAACAAAGGATATCCGTGTCCTCAGTGACCCCGACCGCGCCGTACTTGAGACAGGCCTCCACAAACAAGGCAGCTCTATCGAAGTATCTCATGCTGCTCAAGAGAACACAGGGAGTCAGGCTTCATGATTTACCGTGTAGGTAGAAGACCCACCCGAGGGCTATCTCCAAATAAAGAGTTGTACCCATTTTCCCTGGAAACCTGAGTGCCAGTAAGTTACACGAGCACCTTTCCAAGCCCTGGCTCACAGAAGAAAGCAGGGGACAACATTCGTGTCCCTAACCTCAGGCTCTTTCTTCTTTTTTAAAGATTTTATTTTTTATTTATTTGAGAGAGAGCTGGGGAAGGAGCAGAGGGAGAGGAACAACCAGACTCCATGCTGAGTGCAGAGCGTGATGCGGGGCTCGATCTCACCACCCTGAGAGCATGACCTGAGCTGAAATTAAGAGTCAGATGCTTAATCGACTGAGCCACCTGGCACCCCAGCCCCAGGCTCTTTCTAACTAGTATTTACAAAAACTGTAACATAGTTGAAATATACACAAATCCGGGGAGATGTATCCACATACCCACTGTCCAGATTTAACACAGAGTCTTTTGCCATATTTGCCTCAACATCCCTTAGTTTTAGATAAATAAAATAAAATGTCCCCTCAGTACTAGGTATTATTTTCAGAGGGGACATCTCCCACTGGCAACACTCTCTGCCATCCTTCCGACTGCTCTCTACCCTTCCTCTCAACTGCTGCTGAAGACTTCTTTTACATTCTTTTTAAATAGACACCTGTTAGGTTTGGAGAATACACTGGTAGGAAAACAGAGCTCCTAGGCCAAATGAAGACAACTTAACATGGACTATGACTATTCCATTCTCTGTAGAGGTATTTTTTTGTTTTGTTTTGTTTTTAAATAACCCTAAAAGGTAAGTTTCTCCGTTCACTCCGCACACTGGGTGCTCCATCCCTCCAGCAGAGACTCAGAGAGCACGAAGCAGTCCGTCACCCCCACCAAGGGGCGGAGACTCTGGGTGTACCTGTGAAGTGTCTCGGCCACCGTGAAAAAGCAGCCCAGGGAGAGGAGGACCAGGAGGGCCTTTGACTTCTGGTTGACTTGTGGAGAGCAAAGGTGGTCCACCCAGCGCTTTAAAACATCGGCGCACTCTTCAGAGCTTAAACGGACCTGAGAGAGATGCCCACGTCAAAAACAAAGACGTCCTGCATTACGTAAAGAAAACCGTAACGGGATCAACGTGGGATCTGCGCCTGTGCCACCAACGCCAGGCGTGGCTTTGCGAGCGCATGCCCGGACCTTGCTGCTCACTGTGGGGAGCAGCGGTACCAACCCAGGCCTGCAGAGCCAGGGCCCTGGCAACACCTCAGGGCCAGAGTCTGGGCTCACACCCCAGCACCCCAGAAGGGAAAGAGGCCGGCTGCTTTCACTTACTTGTTACCGAAGACATCCATTGCTCCATAAGAAGAAATGTAATTTCTTCATAAAGAACGGGAGCCTTAGAGTTGCAAGAAAGTATCTGCATAGCAACTTTGCAGCCAAAACACTGCTTCTCAATCACGAGTCCAAGTTCAAGACTGAACTCTACCCCACATGCTCAAGGCGCCTCAGGAAGTCACCTACCTTTGCCAGCCAAGCGGCCCGGTTCCACTCGCCGTACGTCTGCAGGTAGCGGCAAGCATCTGCGGCCTTGTCTATCAGGCAGAGCAGCTGCACCCCCTCTGGAAGACAGAATGGTAGCCCCCAGGTGACACCACGGCCTCGCGGAGTCAGGAGTGGAGGCGGCACCGCCATAGCCCCGACAGCAAAGCGGGAAAGCGTGGGCTCAGTGCTCTCGCCGTGTCAGCCGGCCTGGCTTCGTCCCCTCGGGCCTGTGCTCTTGGGACAGTGTGACTACTGCCCCTTTCACACGAGAAACGGGTTCATGCAGAAAAAAGGAAACAACGATCTACATAATCAAATGCTTTGCTGGGAACGGGTCTGATTGTCCAGAGGATGCGCAAACACACCACAAAGCGTTCCTCACCTGCCAGCTTGCCATTGGCGATCATGTTAGTTGCCACCAGCTTAATGGTGCTCTGGGAGGGGCCCGAAGAGGTGACAGTTGTGACCAAACAGGCTTTCAGGGAGTCACAATAATAATGCTGGTTATCCGCACTTGTTTCTAACAGCAACTGCACAGCTCTGTCTGTCTAATGAGAAAGAGTTTTTCTAATTATGAGACCATTTTCTTCCAACATAATCTTAGTGAATTTATAATTTGAACACTGAACTTAATAGCTTAGAGAAGACTTTCACTTTCAAAATTTGCTTGTCAATGCTTTGCTTATATATAGTGACCATAGTGTGTCTGCCTGCTTCTTTGGAACAAAGGTAAAACCACAGTCTGGTTAACACAGATGCTCAAGAAACTGCTTACTCTGGCTCTGCATCAATTCAGAGACACAAAACCAAAACAAACCAAACAGTCAGATCTCATCTGACATTACGCAAGCCAAAATCCCAAGCTAGTCAACCACAGATTTTTGTTTTTTCACAAGGTTTGTTGGTCTTTTGAAATAAAGCTGAAATTTACATGTATTCGTTCAGGGAAATACGATGATCTACTATCCGTGCGAGCATGTGTGTATGTGTGTGCGCGCGTGCACACATGTGTGCGTGTGCGTGCGTGTGTGTGCATAATGCACATGATGCTCTGAAACACGCATCAGCTAGCGATTCCAGGAGACGTGAATGGAATTGTAAAGAATGGCATACTTGACCCAAGAGAAGTAGCTGGTCTGTGCATTTCCTCGTGTGATCATAAGTTGACCGCTTTGCTTCCTGTACACTCACCCTTTCCAGCTGAAATTTCTAGGGTAGGAAAAGAAAAAAAGAAAAAATTGAGTCAATCCAAGACTTGAGTTACATTTTACTATAATAAAATCCTTTTATAAATATTATTTTGCCTTCTGAAGTTATTAGCTAATCAACTTCACAACATAGTAAGAGTTTGGTTAGAGAAATGTTGAAACAAATTCTCATCTGTGTGCGAGTCGGCCCGCGTACGGAAGCCGGCCCTCCACGTACTGAGGACTCTCCTGCAGTGAAAACAGGGTGAAAGTACCTTTTCAGAATAACAAATTCAAATTGAGTGAAAGAAATGTTTATTTATAGAAAATAAAATTAGAGAATAGTGAATCTTCTAAGTTAACAATTTTAAGACAAAGAAAAAAATAAGGACTTAATAGTAAAATTCTAATGTGTATTAAAAAACTCAATGAGCATTTATGAGCTTTTCAAGGCCCGAGTCAGGCCTTTTATAATGCAGTGGCGCCAACAGACTTATTTCTATTATGTGCACCTTCACTTAGCTGGAAAGTTTCCCAAATTTAAGATACTTCTTACAAAGACGTAAGTCAACAAGATGGGAGCTTTAAAGAGTTTAATATATGCAACACAGTACCTGAAAATAGGCATTTTCACAGAGAATATCATAACATATATCCAGCGGGTTGTTCACTTTGTCCCGAGGCACAGTTTCTTTAGAGGCTGGGGTGCCTGCTTGCTTTTCGTGGGACAAGCTGTGTAGGTAGTGGGCAGCAACAGTCCAGAAGTGTAGCTCTGACTCATCGCCATAAAGCCTGAGAAGGGTGACACCAAAGTCCCACTGAGCGCACACAGCAGACTTAGGTGTGGACGGGGGCGCTCCATAAAAGCTTCAGGGACCAGGAGCACAGCACTGCCCCATGAAAGACCATCTGGGATGCTGGCCTGTGCCCGGCAGGGTGACAGAGGAAGCAGCCCATTCTCTAGCCCTATTACTGGGTCTCAGACAACCCAAGAGCCTGAGGGCACAGCCCCTTCACACCCAAACCCCTCTGTGCTGTGTTAAGAGCAACATGATGGTTCCAAGGCCTGGGCACTGATTTGTCAGGGCTCCTGATTTGTCAGGAGCACACACACCTTTCAATCTGGACCACGGCTTCACATTAAGGAAGAAGTTCCTCTGGGAAAATTGGCTAAATAAGGTATAGAAATACCTGCAATTTATTCTTTGGGGCATAATGGATGGAAATGTCTTTTTGGTAAGTGACAACTTGACCATTCAAAGAGGAAGTACAGATCATTGCCTCTAAATATAATTTACTGGTATAACTAAGGACATGCTCTTTGTAACTGATATTTTGAAACACAAATTTTAAAAAGTTGTCTGTAGGAGGCAGCCTTTTCAGTAGAGAAGGCCTAGATCTCACATTAAAAATGTGAAATTTTTTTCCTATTTGTATTACTAGTTTCAAAATTAACTGTAAAGCAAATATAAAGGATGAACTGATACGTTGTTCTAAAATCTAAAAGGGTTTGTTTGGTGTTAACTAAAAACCCTTAAGAGAAATGAGTTTATCTGAAATTCTGTCTCTTACACAGAACACTGACTGTTACCTTGAAACAAGCAGGCATCTCTGCAGGAGAGTGAATTCTGGATCAAGCAAGAGCTTCTTGATGTCACTGAAAACAGGAATCCAGACAAAGGGAAGGCAAAATTTTTAATCAAACAATAAAGGAGATAAATCAGTATACTCTTGAAAGGGGAAATCCACTCAAAATTGTTAATCTACTTAAAGTTTTGCTATTCCTTTTTTTTTTTTTTTTTAAGATTTTATTTCTTTATTTGACAGAGATACAGACACAGACAGAGGGAACACAAGCAGGGGAGAATGGCAGAGGGAGAAGCAGGCTTCCTGCAGAGAAAGGAGGAGGGAACCTGATGCAGGGCTCAATCCCAGGACCCTGGGATCATGACCTGAGCCGAAGGTCATGACCGAGCCGAAGGTGGCTTAACAACTGAGCCACCCAGGTGCCCAAGTTTTGCTATTCCTGAAATATTTTGTTCTTTTTGAACTAGTTAGTATGCTTAGAACTGACAAAGGAAGTTACTTTGCCGTGACCCTGAAATGACAAATGTTTTAAAAGGCTCACAGTGGGTCTAGGCCTGGAGAACTGGTACCTGTCAACCATCACAGGGGGTGAGGCTCTGATTCTGGCTTACAGTCCTGCAAGAGTTTAACTCATGGTTTTGAAAACATGAACAGCTATCTCACTATAGGAATAAGAATGTCACGGTTGGCAAAATGACTTTGCTACTCATCAGAAACACTATGTACTTTAGAAAAGAGAGATTCAGAAACTATTCCAAAAAATATTTAAGGAAGAAAGACACATTTTTATAAATTGATATTTCTAAAATAGCAACAAACAGAATATTCATAAATCGGGAGGGGGAAAGATGCTCTTTAAATCTTTTCTACTTAAACATAAATGTTACCTTTTGGATACAGAAAACAATAGTTATTTTGAATTTGGTGTCAATAAAGCATGGAAAATGTATTACATATTGTGATTACATGTGATAGATTCTAAGATTGCAAAAATGTATTCTATTTAACCAAGAACTGATGGACCCATATGTTTCTACTTCCTTTGCAATATTATTCCCAATACATCCTTTTAAATTGCTCTTGGCTCTAGGGAACATATTAATTTCTTAGAACTGTGCACACATAGCACCTGATGTGGAGAATTTATTTTAGAAAAGGCAGCTGCCACAGAAGAACCGCGCTGTGCATGGCCTCTCACCTGAGGAGCTTCGTGGGGCATCTGTGGTTGAGGCAGGCTGAGCTACGACGACACTCACACCACAGCTTCCGTTCTTGCACTGATACGGGACCACAGCTGTCTAACACTTAGGATCTTGGTGAAGGTAGATGCTGTCCCCGTAACTACTAAATAATTATGTTTTCTACAACACAAGGATTCTCAAGGGAAATAAGCTTCCGAACAGAATGGTTCTGAATAGAACCTTTCTCCTTGGGCTCCTAACATTTTCTGAAACAAAACCTACTCTAATTTCAAAAAGCCTAAATGACTGTATTTTCTTTTTCATAGTCATACCCTCTATTAAAACACAGCTGGGATGCTTACTTTGATAATGAATTCAGCTGCTCTTGAAGGAGATTCTTTATTTCTTCATTTTCTGGATAATCACTGTGCAGAAAAGATTCTGAATAAGCTCATTCTCTTTCACTTACAACCACACATTTCTTCACCAGAAAAAAAGTTGTACCAATAGAGAAATCACTTCTCAGCAGTCCCTGGTTGAAAACGCTGGCTAGAGACCAAACAGCAATGACTCAAGAACCCACCAACCACCTTTCATGTCTGCTTTCGCCTCGTTTAGGTAAAACAAAGGAATGAGTAATGAATGTCTCTTTGGCTTTCAAGAAACCAGAAAATTTATCAGCAGCCTCTAAAAACCATCATGCTTAGATTCACTTTAATAAGAAACCCAGCAATGACTGAAAGGATGTGCTCTTCTGCTCTGCAAAATGGACATTCCTTTCTCTAAGAAGATACTTCCTGAAGTATCCAGATACCTCATCCCAATATTTGTTGTATTCCCCTAACCCATGCCTACCTGTGCTCTCCACATGGCCTAAGTTCAGGAACGCTTGTCGGTTTAACTAATAACTACTACTAATAGTTACTGTGAATATATTTTTGTAATGAGGCAGGCAGTAAGATTCATAAAACAGAAAATATCTCTGTAATAAGCTCATTCTTGCTGCTTTTTTCTTTTATATATTTTATTTATTTGAGAGAGAGAGAGAGCGTGGGAGGAGGGCACAGAGGTAGAGGGACAAGCAGACTCCGTGGAGCCTGAAGTGGGACTCCATCCCAGGACCCGGAGATCATGGTTTGAGCTGAAATCAAGAACTGGTCCCTTAACCGACTGAGCCATCTGGGTACTCCTCTTACTGCTTTTAAAAAGAATTTGAAGCCTGGCCTCAAATTCCTCTTGGCCTAACTGGCTCTCTCCGCACTCACTGTGCCATCCCCGTGTTCTGACTACAACTGCCCAGAGCAGCTCATGAACCCCAGCGCCCCACGCCTGCCCGCTCCCAAAGACCCCAGCGAGGCAGGATAAAGGATCTTTCAGTGCATCTACTATTTCTGCCTCAGCTTGTTTTTTCCAATCCTTTTAAATCCCAGAGTACAGGCGCCTGCTGGTTTTCGTGGGTGCCCTTTAACCCCAAGCAAATTAAGAAAGGAAAATAAAAATGGTAAAAACTTACACCTGAGAAATGTCCAAAGAATACTGTCCATTCCATGGCTGGTGTAGTAAGAAAGCTTTCAAGGCAAGGGAGGCCCTTGGAACAAGGAGATAGGGGCACCACACAGGCTCTAGATAAAAATTTTTAAAAAATTAAGTAAGTTCTTTAATAAAACAGAATTTTAGAGTTTTGTTGTGAAGCTTCAGCTACAGCAGTCTACGGAAAAGTCAACAGAGAAGGACGCGTAAGTCTGGTGGCGGCAGAGAGTACATTCAATGTCGTCGCTGCTTAAAGACAAACGGGCTAAGCGTGCAGAGATTCTCTTCATTCAAACTGATGAATAGCTCTTTCTTCCCCTTTTTAAAATTTAAGTGTCCTGTATGGTATAAAAACACTGATACTACGTGAAAAGGTTTAATGCAACGACTCAACAGATACTAATAAAGCTCATTATTTTAAAATACTAAAAATAATATTTATTTGTATCCTCTTATACCGTTTGCGGTCTTTGCTTTTCTGAGACTATTCAACTAACAGAGCCCATCAACCCTGAGCTTGTCACTAGAGGTAGCAGGTTACCCCGCTCATCAAAGGCATCCTCAGGTCTTACTTAAAGGGCAGCTCCTATCCCCCTAGACCAGGGGCCCTAGCATCCCCTACCGCAGCAGTGGGCTTACTTAGGACATAATAAACAAGATTTGCTTCTTCTTTTTTTTTTTTTTTTAACATATTCTAATTCAAGGAAGCCAAAGGCCCAAAGGTCCCAGTGCCCAGGCAACCTAACACAGCCCCACCCGGTCAGACGCTCAACCAGTAAAGAGTTCTTCAGGACTAAAAAAAGAGTTCTTCAGGACTTCATTAATTAATTTTAACTAATTAACCTTAATTAATTTTAACTAACTTAAATTTTAAAATACTTGATTCAGTCATTGGATAACTTTTACGTCTACTCAGGGATACATAACTGCTTTTTCAGTTGTCAATTTTATAAAATCTAAATGCAGCTTAAGTATTTCTGCTGAAAATATGTGTCCCCTAAATTGATCCTTTTTTTTTTTTTAAGATTTCATTTATTTATTTGACAGAGAGAGAGAGAGAGAGCACAAGCAGGGGAAGCAGCAGGCAGAGGGAGAGGGGGAAGCAGGCTCCCCATCGAGCAGGACGCCCGACACAGGGCTCTATCCCAGGACCCTGGGATCATGACCCCGGGCGAAGGCAGCCACCTAACAACTGAGCCACCCAGGCGCCCCATGATCCATGTTCCATTGTTAAGTACACCCTGGGTTCTGAAAACTGAGCGTGCAAAACTGAAATATCTCATCAGTTATGTTTAATACCGACTACAGGTTGAAATGATAAAACTCTGGATATACTGGGTTAAATAAAATTTTTATTAAAATTAATTTCATCCATTTTTCACTTTTTAACACCGAGTACCAGAAAATGTAAACATATGTGGCTCACGTTACTTTTCTGTTAGAGACCACTGCTTTAGAAACCATCATTGTATGTAGTTAGCTAAGTATTACATCTTAGATAAAATATCTTATGTGGACTTTTCAGAGTCAGAAAATGGCCAGAAATATTTCTAATACTATTTTTTTTTTTGCACCCAAGAGTTTTAATACTGATTCATTAAAATCACTTAAACTGCAGTCCACATTCAGAGGTCCTCTGTTACTCCCTATCCTGAGGGCTATATTCTGCCTGCACTGGCTTCTCATGGCTCCTGAATCTCCCTTAGTTTAGAACAGTCCTCTCTTCTTTTTGTCTTTGGTCTTACACAATGTTGTCATTTTTGAAAAGTCTGGTCTGTTCAGTGTCATAGGAAATGATCTCCACTGAGCATCAGACTCAGGCTAAACATTCTGGGCAAGAAGCGGACACAAGGGATGTTGCGTACTTCCTACTGCATTCCCCACATGCAGAGGGGGCATGTTAGCCAGCCACCGGGTAACACGAAATGTGGTCATCTGGTTAAGGTGAACTCATGGGCTCTCTCGAAGTCAAGGCACCTTTTTCCCCTTCACAATTATGGCGAGATACTGTGAGACCGAATTTCCTATTCCTCAACGCCCTTCTACCCAGTGATCTAACACCCACCAGTGATCCTGGCTTGAATCAACTCTTACATTAGGAATGGGAATTGGTGATTCTCTAATTCTATCACCCTGTCTACATTTATCAATTGGCATGCTTCCGTAAACATGAGCTTTCCCTTCCTGCCCAGGCCCCTTCCTCTTTCGCTGGGAATATGACTATGGAATAATGGATTAAAAAAAAAAAGAAGTCCAACACTGCTGTCGATACCAATGTTATTCTTCACGACGCTCAGACTGCCCCAGCTTTGGCAGCAGAAGCCTCTAAATGCTCGTTTCTGTATGTTTGTGACGGGCCCTCCCTGGTTTTTCAATTCCTTCCTTAGTTGCTGACACCACAAAATGTCCCAGACTCATCTTGCAGCTTTCTCGCCTCTGTCCTGGAGCAAACTGCCCAAGGAGCCCTGGTTCTTTTAGGTCAAGAAACAGAATTTATATACCAAATCTGGATGCTAAGAGAGTTCCCTGCCACTGAAATGTCATTGCTTCTATGCCTGAAATTAGTACACACAGCCAGGAAATAAAGAACATTTAAAGTCAAATTCAGATCCACCCTGAAAAGCTCTTCCTCCTCATACCCCCCCAACCCCACATCTGTTTCTCCCTCTTCCCTCAGCAGGAACTCTGGTTCCCCTAAATTGCAATTTATTTACCAGTTTGTTCCAGTCCATAATATGCACAAAACTGTTTCACGACTACTGCCAACTACTGAAGCTGAAAACCCCAGACAGCTCTTTTTCATCCTCAAAGTATGAACCACTACGGGGCACTGTGAGAATCCTGCATTTCAGTTATGAGAACTATTCTTACCAATTTGTTAATACGGTTAGGTTCAATGGTCTCTTTGTCCAATTTTAGGGTTTGTTTTTTCTTTCATCCTTCTTATTTTCATTATACAGTTGACCCTTGAACAATATGGGTTTGAGCTATGCAGGTCCACTTATAGATGATTTTTTTTTCAATAAATACAGCACAGTACTATAAATGTATTTTCCGTTACGATTTCAAATTATGATGATTTTATGAAAACCCCTTATGATTTTAATAACATTTTCTTTTCTCTACCTTACTTTATAAGAATACAGCCCATAATACATGTAACATACAAAATATGTATTTGTTGGCTATTTACGTCATCGGTAAGGCTTCCGGCAATGGCAGGCCATCAGGAGCAGGAACCTGATGTAACCTCATCAGCCGTAACCCCCATGCTGTTCAAGTCTGTATTTTTTCAATATGTACAACATTTAAATGACTCAAAAGCTGAAACTATATAATATTAGTGTATTCATTGAAGTCTCACCCCATCCTCATTCTTTTAATCTGTCTAGCTTCTATAAATAATCATTTTCTTTAGTTCTTGGATTATTCTGGGTTTTTTAAATTGTCTTGTTTTGTAATATAAGCAAACACCTTTGCAGACTATACACACTTGAACACTTGCATTCCTCACCCATTCATACCCTATCACTCCACGGATCAGAGACATTCCTCATTCTGTTTAAGTGCTGCACACTACTCCGTTGTGTGGATGTTTCCAGACTTATTCTTTCCCCAATTTTGCTATGCTCACATATATGGATGCCCAAGTTAACGTGAATTCTTGGTATTGGAATCGATGAATATAAAAGGTAAATATACAGGCTGCTTTGCTAAGTACTGCCAGATTCCTTCCTACAGGAACTCCTCCACGAACACTGAATGACAATACTTGTTTTCTTAGACTTGCAAGAGCATGTTTTCAAGCTCCTGAATTATTAATCTGATAGTTGAGAAGCAGTTTTCTAGTATAGTTTTAATTTGTATTTTTCTTATTATGAATAAAGTTGAGCATCTTTTCATATGTTTAAGGGCCATTTAAATGTATATATTTATTTCTTCTCTGTGGACAGTCTACTAAAGACTTGCAAGTACCTTCTCCCAGGTTATCATATGTATTTTGCTTTGCTTATAGTTTTTGTTCTATGAAAGGTTTTTTTGGTTTGTTTTTTTTTCCCCCCATTTTCTCTTCAGTCAAATTTACCTTTTACGTTCAGGTTATAAAGGGAAGAATATACCTGGTAAGAATGAGACTCACCTACATGCCTGCAGAACCATTAAAACCAGCACTGGAAAGGGTAAAGGCAGGTTTACTAAGCACTTTCTCTTTAGTCATCCTTACTAGATGAGAACCGTGGAACGCTCCAGCTCTCAAGACGACAGTGGCTGCTAGCGTTAGCTTACAAAATGTTTGGGAATAGTGTGAGGGGACAAAAACTTAATGGTACAAATTAAGCCTGGAAACAGAGAAAGTTTCTGTGCTATGTGTAGTTTCTTAATCAACGGACAGTGAAAAGACACAAGAGAATGTTCTGAGAAAGCTGCACTCCAGAGTTTTTACATAACGTGAGCAAGACAGCAATGACCACGCCCGAGTAAACGGAGGGAAACATCTGATCTTTAAAAACAAATGTGTTATTTCTCCAAAACAAAACATTGCTGATAGCATCCCGATGAGCATGAACAAACTGAGAGTGAACTCTCTTCCCTCCTACCTTCAAATAAATTTAGATTTTTCTCCTCAAAGGCAAAGATCAGCCATGAAAAAACAATAGGTGATCATCTTCCAGCTGGAGAAACTCACCTACAAACGCTCATTCACTTCTGGACGTTACAATTAGAATAAAAAGGGAGTTGGCAGCACTGTTAACTTTTCTCCCACAGGTTCTGCATAGTCTGGGCTACAGCTCTCTGAGGTGTTAAACAGAAACACACCCAGACTGCTGGCTGCCTTTGTGACAGCCACGCAGAAAATCAGGAACTGAAGAGCCAAGAAGAACAGTAGGAAAACTGCTCCTTCAGCACCTGGAGGTGGCCCACGGCACGGTGAGCAGGCAGTCTGGGAAGGAGAGGACCCTGCTTGGGTAATTTCATCCCTGTGATACAATGCGGGTGGCGGGAGGGAAGAGGGGAGATAAGGTACACACCTGACATTTTGGGCAAGACCATTTCTCATTGCCCAGGTTGTTCCCTGCACTGCATGCTGCTTAGTAACCCCAGAGGTCCCCCGGCCCCAACACCTGTACATCCTGACACATTTCCAGACAGCCCAGATGAAAACCAGGGGAAATGAGTGGAAAGCAGAGGCAGATGAAGAGGCAAGCGGTGCGTATAAATCCGACTGTAGAAAGCTTCTTTCTATGGGGGCGTGTTAGGCAATGGCCCGAGCAGCTGTGAGGAAGTTGCACCGGACAGTCTCTAATACCCTGTGGATACTATGTAAAGTGTGTGGAAACTGCAACTTGAATGCTATTAAACAAGTCTCACCCTCTCTGATTCCTTCCAGAGGCTGCTAAAAAAAAAAGTATTTTGATTTTTTTATGCTGTTTTATGACCCTGATAAATAAAGCAGCAGACAAGAGGGGTTCTTCAACTCAAAAACAGGGATCCTCATCTACATGTGTCTGACCTTCCTGGTTACTAGAGCTAGAGGAGGGTTGAGACACATGTTAACACAGGGCGGAAGGGGAGGAACAGGCCATCTAAGCTATTCTAAGAAAACTGACAGACTTGACCCAGTATTTTAGGATATTTTCTACTTGTTATTAAGGAGAATTAAAGAAAATTGATTAAATGTATCACTGCATATGACCTAAAATGATTTTTATCCCATATCAATAAGTCTAAACTCTACTTCTAATTCCCCAGAATAGAAATATATTGAACATATCTTTCTAAGATCAAGTCAGCATGTAACTGAACACAGAGACATCTGTGTGCTAACTCCGTAGTTACACATACCACCAGTTCTTACTCTTTAAAATATGTATCAAATGTTGTTCTGAGTTTAAAGGTCAATATTGAACTTCCCTGTTACTATTTCAAAAATTTTCCCTTTCTGGCTGAGGATGCAGCACTACAGACTGGGTAGGAATGATTTTTTTTTTTGAAAACCTGAAAAGAAAATGTAATCTAAAAGCGATCTGCAGGTCAGATGTTCGAGCACAGTGTTAATGATGGGCTCCAATTCTGTAGTCACTTTAAGAAAAAGCTACCCTGGCCTTGGTAGATTGAAATTTTAAATTAAAAGGGGTAGAAAAGCTTTCCAAACATTTTGATTACATTCACACACCTCTTTAACCTCGAACCAGTAGCTAATTTGAAAAAGGAAAACCACCCTTGAAGTTCCCTCCATTTCCTTAATAACTAAGTCTGCTTCAGAAGGAGGAGATGCTGCCACTTCTGCAGCGCCGTTGAGCATCTCAGGCACAGACACAGGAAAGCATCACACAGCTTCTGGCTTCGGCGAGTGGTGGTCAAGGTCACAAAGGGGGAAGTGGCAGTCCCAAAGCTGCTAGCAGAGCTGGGACCACAACAAAAGCAAAAGCATACCTAACACAACTTCAAGGGAGCCCAGCTGGCACTGGCAGCAACTTGGGAGTGCGTTAAGTACAAACACAAGGGGAAAGCACGGGTTTCTAAAATGTTACTGCCCCCGACGGTGCCAAAGACCAATCCGACAAAGGTACACACAGTTCCCAGAGAGGAAAGCTCTATGCTGAAACCCAATAAGTGACTAAACAAGTTTCTTCTGAAAATTTTCAGCAGGCTGGTGTGTACCCAAAGGGATGCCTGGAGAATACTTAATGTAGGAAGTTTCCTGCTTCGTTCCCATGAGGGTCAGAATGTCTGTCTCTACCCCAAAGTATCTTGCAAGGATGAACACTGCATTTCATGAGACAAAAGCTGACTTTCAAAATGACTGATGGGTGCGTTCACAATCCTATTCTTTTTTTTTTTTTTTTAAGTCACATATGAGGTTACATTTACTAAAATGTTCTTCATTCTGGTGAAAAATAATCTCAAAACAACCTTACAAAAAAGGTACAATAGCACAATCATCTAATTTTATTTTGACGGGCCATTTAACAAGTCTTAAGATAGGCATCAACATTCACGACACTGAGAACACTTTCCGAAGTGACTTTTCAGTGACAGATGCTTGCGCTTTTCTTTTTTTAATTTAAGTAATCCTACTGCCAATGTGGGGCTCCAACACACAACCCTGAGAGGAAGAGTTGCACACTCTTCTGAATGAGCCAGCCAGGTGCACCCAGCGATATATGCTTACAAAAGACAGAAAGCTCATTATTAAAAAACCAGTGGCACCTATCACTAGATTCATGTCCTCTGATGAGTTCTCCTAAATTCTGTTTTTAAAAATTTAAAAAAAAAAAAAAAAAAAGATTTTATTTATTTGAGAGACAGAGAGTGTGCATGAGCTGGAGGGGGGAGGGGCAGAGGAAGGCAGAGAAGCAGACTCCCTGCTGTTCAAGGAACCCAATGTGGGCCTTGATCCAGGACCCTGGGATCATGACCTGAGCTGAAGGCAGGCACTTAACCAACTGAGCCACCCAGGCAGCCCTGAGTTCTCCTTAAATTCTAAGTGAACCATTTTTATGTAAACACCTCTGATCTTTGACAAAGCACTCCTCAAGGAGCACTTGCCAACCTGGAGACGGAGAGTGACAGACATCTGCAGTTACTGAGTCCAGCATCTCAGCGGTAAAAACCCTCAAGCTTGAAGTTAATCTATTTCCTTAAACTCAGATTGTTAGAAAGTAAGACTAAAATGAAACAGAAGAGAGCAGCCTGTGCAAAATAAAGAAGGCGTCACTGAGCCTTTCATTGGCACTCCGTACCGGTTAGCTCTTGTTCATCCATTCTAAAACAAGTGGACTTCAGAGACATCTCCAGGACTCTGACACACCCATCGTCTGATGCCAAGATCACTTTATCTGATGTACACCAGTCCACATCCAATATCCGAAAGGTCACATTTCTTCCACTTCTTAAACTGCTCACCATCTGAACCTTCAAGAGTGAATTTGGTGGTCATTTTCAGAAAGAAAAGGAAGATGTTTATCACAGACAATGCCAGTGGCAAAGACCCAGTGCAAGTTAAAACTGAACAGCCTTTGGCAATCTCTCTTCCACATGCAGATTGCATTTTGAAGATCCCAAAGACAGTGAGACCATTAAAAGCCAGAAAATCATTTTAAGAAGTTTGACAAACCCATTTCATAGGCTTCATTTCTAAATCAGAAGGAAGAAAAAAATTACAGCTCCTGTGACCAGCAGCTTGGTTTGAGTGTCCCCTCATGGAGCTGGGCCTACCTCTTTAGTATCCCACACTTCAGCACCATCATTGTACATTGCTATTAATTTCTGGTTTCCTTTACCGGGAGCAAAACGAATCTTCCTCACCCAGCTTCGGTGTGTAGGTATTCCTCTGAAAACAGACAAAAAAAACAAGATGCCAATATGACGTAGAATAATACCTTGTCACTGGAAACGATGTCCGATGACTTTTTCTACGTCTGCTTTTGACAAGGTCTGGTGACGTGAGAACCATTTTGCTTTCAGGGAGAGGAGTCCCATATGACAGAAATGATGAGGGTATAATGCCCCAACACTTCAGCATGGGCCACCTGCAGGGAAGTGTCTCCTATGAATGACCCAGAGCTTGGCTCAAGGCTCTTCCTCCCAAGTTGAGCGACAAGAGACCCAAGGGTCTGAGCTATACTTGGTCATGTTTAATGATCCTACTTAACAGTTCAAGAGCCTCCAATGCGTCCATATCAAGAAGTTACTTTTTCTTTTTAAACAAATAATATTGCATCTTTTTAAAAGATTTTATTTATTTTATTTAGAGAGTGAGAGAGAGAGAACAAGCAGGAGCATGGGTAGGGGCAGAGCGAGAGGGAGAGAAGCAGACACCTCACTGAGCAGAGAGCCTGACAAGGAGCTTGATCTCAGGACCCTGAGATCATGACCTGAACTAAAACCAAGAGTCAGAGGCTCAAACAACTGAGACACCCAGGTGCCCCAAATAATACTGCATTCTTTTTTTTTTTTTTAAAGATTTTATTTATTTATTTGACAGAAAGAGATCACAAGTAGGCAGAGAAGCCTGCAGAGAGAGAGGGGGAAGCAGACTCCCTGCTGAGAGCAGAGAGCCCGATGTGAGCTCGATCCCAGGACCCTGAGATCATGACCTGAGCCGAAGGCAGAGGTTTAACTCGATGAGCCACCCAGGTGCCCCCAAATAATACTGAATTCTTGATTCATACCTGGATACTCTGCCTTTCAAATCCCAAAAATTTAAATTTCCATCCATATCTCCAAGAACTAATGTGTCACCTTTCCAAGCGATGCAGGTAATACTACCCATACTTCCCTAGAAAACAAAACCAATAGATACACATAGTTTTCACTACTTATAAGCCATCATAGCAGAGTAATGTTTTTAATTAATAAATGTGATAAAATAATAAAGATATTTTAATAAAACTTAATTATAAATGGTTTTGCTTTGGTATATATGCCATAAAATACTAACAGACTTGGGACACTAGAAGAGCTACCTAGCTTATCAATTTCAACCATAAAGAAACCAGAGATTTCAGTTTGATGGCCATTAAGTTATCTGAACTAAATTTGTAGAGAAGAGGTGCTTTTTGAGGAAGAAATACCTTAAAGAAAGCAAATTAAAAGCAATAAAGAGAAGAAAAGAAAACCCTTTCCAAAGGGCCCTTGTCTCCAACTTCTCACTCACTGTAAAAGGATAAATCAGTCTGTTCCAGAAGAAACTCAGAGCTGTTTCATAATTAACTGTGCAGCAGTTTTTCTACTGAAAAGAGGATCCAGAGCTTCCCTGATACCTTCTGGAATAATGACAGTAAAGAGATACTGTAGATTAAAGGCATCTGCACAATCTGAATTCACAGAAGACGCTGCAAAGACATACGGAAACCCAAGTATAAGAATGAAACAGTACTGCAGTAAGTCCAAGGGGAGGTGGGGGGGAGAGAGGGGAGAAAGGAGCTTGCAGCTCTATCTAACCAATGCACAAAGGTAGTGCGACAAAGACCTTAAGAGCCTGGGCTCTACAGCCAGCTACTGGGGCTCAGATCTGGGCTTCATCCTGTATATTTGTTGTGTGGCTTGGGACACATGTACTTAATCTTTCTGAGTCTTAGACTTGTCATCAATAAAGAAAGTTAAGCTCATGAAACTTGAGGAGTTCCTATTAGTATTAATACATTTATACAGGAAAGGGCTCAAAACAACGCCTGCTACACAGCAGTCAATAAATTGCTCATTATTAAATAATATTGCTCAGCTACTTTTTTACTTATTAAGAGAAATCTTGTTTTTTGCATTTATAAAACAAAATAAAAATAAAAATTCACATGCTTAGTTCATAGTGGGAAAGCTCCAGGATGGCCAGACTGTTAATAGACTGGCCCATGCATCAAATACTACACAAATCCTAGTGGTAGTCAAGAAATAAAAGAAAAAACTGGATTAAAAATGAGTATTTTAAAGAATTCAATAATAAAAAACTTAGAAAATTATGTTAAATAGAATTCTATATAATATGAAGCCACACTTCAAGATCTTATTTCCATTTTCCTGACCACATTAACAGAATGTTTAATTCAGAATTTGCCTTTCAGTTTACTTTTTTAGCCTTGAAAACTTCCACATTTTATAATCTTACTTCCTAACCTCTAAAACTAAAAATTAAAGCTTAAATAAGCACAGAAGTCAGCTTGTAGGTGACATATTAATATGACTATATAATTAAACAATCCAGACCTTTCTACCTGAGGGTTTGTTGATAGGATACAACCATATGCAGATACCAAGGAGCTTTCAGAGGATGTGGCATAAAGTTGCTTTGTGGCTCCAAATAATCCCAAGAGAATCAATTTAAGATTAAAACTCAACAGAGTATTATTACTTGACACCGTTATGTTTCTGTATATAAAATGTGATGTTCAAAAGATCAGAAGGCTGACAGCAACATCGAGATACTCATGCCCTCCCACGGTTCCAGTTTTCTGAATAAAGACAGTCAACTACAGATGCTCCAAAATTTAAAACATGCCAAGTCTTCCTCTTCTTTTTACCATTTTTATATACTCTAATAGCTCTGGGGCCATAATGCAGAGGGAGTCAACTCAAAGCAAATGTTTAATACTTTACGTTTGGGAGGAGAGTAAGATAAATACTGGATTAAAACGATCAAACAAAACCTCTGCCTAAATTCTACAGGACAGTCCCTAGGAAATATTTAAATTACGGAAAATAAAAATAATGAACCAAAGCCAATTTCTCATGTATTATTCAGTAGCTGCTCAAACACCTTTCCCTAAAAGCAACCTAGCTGGTTTTAGGGGAAGGGATTTTCCCTAAATACGCACTAATTTCAATGGAGGCTGCATCTGTATTAGGCTGCTCATTCCCTGAGAAAGCTGCTTCCAGCTGTGGAATAAAAGGCTCTGGCAGGCAGCTGGAGACCTGCTATACCCTGACTTTGGACCTCCACAAAAAAACACAGAATCTTAAAGGCTGTGAGGCACAATTACCATCCCGAAAGAAACTTCTATAAAAAGGAAAAGTAGAGTCTACTGTCTAAAAGCTTTAAACTTTTTCTGGGGTAAGGAGGAATTGGCATCTCAAAAAATTACTGGATTGTTTTTACATCCTAATCGCAAGTGTGAAGTGATCAGAAACAGACAGAGCTGCCTGTGCGAGGCGCTGGAAGACTTCAGGTACGGCCTTCTCCGCGGTTCTAGAGCAGGAACTCTCTATATTCCTAAGACAGCAAATTGATATTTCAAAGGACAGCTACACTAACACTGCAACTCTTAGGTCTGCTCTCCTTAGCAGTTTTTCTTCTGATACACGTAAAGTAAGTTCCTTTTCCTATTATGACCAAATACCAACCTTTCATATTTGCATTACTACTTTCACCTTTCAAACTAGTGACGTTAGAGAAAGTTCAAAACAGACATTACTAAGTCTCAGGTACGACTTGTTCTATATAATAGTTAAAAAAAAATAGTAAAAATGAAACTTTCACATGTTAGTTTCCATTTTTAGTAGAGAAGGTGGTTTGGATGGCCTCAACTCTTCTCATGTTGTTTTTAAGGACGATGCGGCAGCAGCCTCTCACAGACCCCCCACTGATCCTGCCTTGTGCTATTCATGTCCCTTGGCAGTCACCTCCCAAATGAACAGGACTGACCCGTGAACCAGCAGCACTGAGGGAACGACAGAGTGTGATTTCTCAGACTAGGTTCTAAAAGACTCTGCAGCTTTTTCTGTGTTCTCCTGGATGACTCACTATGGAGGAAGCCAGATGCCATGTGGTGACGACACTCAGCCCTATGAAGACTGTCCCTGCGAGGAAGAACTGAGGCCACTCACCAAGAGCCAGCATTACTTATGGCCAGGTGAGTCAGCCGCTCTGGAAGTGGACCCTCCCACCCCAGCCACCGTCCTGAGCCACCTGCAAGATACAGGGGTTGGCATTCAACTAAAACTGTCTATTTTTAGATGACATTTTAAATAAATACATTTATGAGATCATCTCATGCCTCCACTTAACCATTATAACAGTACTAGTTAACAAAAACATCTTCTTATCTATCCATTAGAAACAACCTATAAGATACATGTGGACACAAAATTACGAACAAGAGAACCTCAATCAGAGGATTTCACAAGGTCCTAGAAGGACAGATATAAATTAGTAAATATTAATAATGCTATTGCACCTACAACCTGATTACTATGACCCCAAAATGATGCTAGACTGTAAGTCAAATCCTCCAAGGTAATGCCTGAAGTAGAAAGAGGAGAGATAATGGAATCAAACAGACGGACCTCAGTTTAAAACGGTCATGTCACTAAGCTGGGTAACACTGAGAAAGTTACTTATTCTCCCTTGATTCTCTCAGAGTTAAAATGGGAAGAATTCTTCATGGATTATTAAGGGGATAAAAAAATAAGTAGCACATGGTAAGTATTTAATCTAAGTAGTTACAATGTTATTCTCTAACGGTTTAATCAATGATAATATCTCCTTAAATAATCAAGTTTATTATTTACATTAAACCTTCATGGAACAGCTTCACAACTTAACTATGGCTTCACTGGAAATGGAATCAACAAAATCTTTGAGAAGAACCCTTCACGAAGATGTAATCAGGAGTTGGACTCACATCTGGTGGAATCCGAGCACTATCTTTCACTGAATTTCCTTCCACTGTGAGATGATAAACTTGGCCGTCATTATCAGTAAACACAAAATGCTCCCGGGCAGAGATGTTCTGACTGAGTTCAGATTTACTTTCTGCCTCCTGCAACAAGCTTTGGAATAGAGAGGAATAAGATAAAGGTATTTCTTTTCCCTAGAGTGACACACACATTAATTAACTTGCCCAAAATACAGATGCATTAACAAAAGGTCCAAAACTATTTACCTAAAAAGAAAAAAAAGAAAAAGCACTGACACTAATCTTTGCCCAACTAATAATAGGAAAGCACAAACTACACCCAACAGGTCGTTTACCGCATACAGAGAAATGCAGTCATCTAGACGTCACATAAGAAACTTGTTCACCATTTCTGCTGCAGAAAGAGAGGCCTTACCGTCACCCGTCATTCCTGCTGAGGTTTTTTTTATTTGTAAAACTGGTGGGGATAGAAATGGGGACAGTCCATATAAATCTAGCTTTGGCTACACATTTGCTTTTGTGTATAAATGACAGTATGATCTACCTGGATGTTCACGCGACATTCATTTGAATTCCAGAAGCTAAAGTTCAGGGAACAGAAGGGTAGTGAGAATGGTCATGCTTGCTAATGGATGCTGACATGCGGTTATTACTGTACGCATTACTGACTGCGCTAAGCAATGAAATAATAAAATTAGCTCTTCCGTTGTCCAGGTATGGACTGAAATACAACAAGGTACTACTGATGCCTTTGGATGGCCCCTGGCAAGTTCCCCACAAGGCCACTGGTATCACAAATGAGAGAGGCAGGAAACAGCACACCGCACCTGATTACGGAGGACTCCACGATGCTCAGCTCTGTGTCTGAGACCACAGTCTGGCGGGCCATGGCCTCTCGGGTGGCCAATTGTTTCTTTCTCAGGCTCTTCAAGTTGTGAGATGGGGACCACTCCTGAGAAGCAAAGACAGGCACACCTTCAAGTGCTCAGTTTACTTCTGTCCAACAGTCTTTCCAGAACAGCTGGGCGTTCTCGCCACTGCTTGACATCACTTATTATGACTGCACAAGAATTTATAATTTGTTCTTAGGTTTTATCTATTTATAGAAAAGCTGAACAAATGCATTTTAATTAGTGCTTAAGGCCGATTTTAATACTGTACCCTCCACCTCCTTCTACTTCTCATCTTTAATGAGAGCTTAAGGTAGAAGAGTTTAATGACAAACTTCCAAAAGCTCTAACTTTTTGATGCCTTGTTTTTGGTTTCTTTTTTACAAAACGAAAATAATAAATGCAATTACGGTATCTTCTCTTCCCTACCTCTAGCCGTCCCCCATAGGTGCACAGGGTGAGACGATCACATTCCTCCAACCACGGCTCACTGTCCTCCAGAGGCACCTCCTATCTCTCATTTGATTGATTTATTCTTTTATCTTCCCTCCTATTCTAATGCATTCAATCTAATATCCTCTTATACGCATCAACTCTTCCCAGTAGTTATTTTACATGCCTGTATTCGTAACTTACATAAATAGGGCTTCGTTATATCCCACCCTGTTTCTAACTCTTTTCATTCAGCACAGGGGCAGGCCCATCTCGGTTGCTTCTGCCTGCTACCAGACACTCCGCGAACGCATCTGCCAGCCTGTAGTCTACCTGTTATCCCAGCAGAGAACACCTTGATCACCTCCAAGCCCTTGGACAAACAACACTTCAGTCAATAGCCCCATGGAAGCTCAGCTCTGTGTCTGAGACCACAGTCTCAGTCAATAGCCCCATGGAAGCTCCTTTGTGACCAGAGGCTAAAGAGCTGGCGCCCAGGGGATGTCTGTTTGCCCAGGCGCTGTCAGTCTGCTCTGCAGAGCGCCTCACCAGTCTGCATTCCTCCCCGCAGTGCATAAGGATTCCTGCAACCTGCACTACACCCTCATCGGATGCCATCTGGCTTCCCAGTTTCTGTTAGTTTCAAAGTTACATCCTGGTTATTTTAGGGTTATTTTATTTTGCCCATCTCTAAAAACTGCTGAGTTTGACTATTTCTTCGTATGCTTGTTGGCCTTTTAGGTTTCTCCACCATTCGTGAACTGTTCATGTACTTGGGCCCTCTTTCTACTGGGGTTAGTCTTTTCACCGTGTATGTGCAGGAGTTCCCATAATCCTAACTCCCTATGGGGATTAGTCCTTTGCTGGTTTCAGACATTGGCAAATTTCTTTTTCCAACTTATCTTCTCGCTCTCTCTCTTTTTAAAAAGAGACTGAATTAATTAATTAATTTGACAGCATGCACAAGTAGGCGGAACAGCAGGCAGTGGGAGAAGGAGAAGCAGGTTCCCCGCTGAGCAGGGACCCTGATGTGGGACTTGATCCCATGACCCTGGCATCATGACCTGAGCCAAAGGCAGGTGCTTAACTGACTGAATCACCCAGGTGTCCCCAACTTGTATTCTCTACTTAACTTCGACATTGGGGTCCTTCATTGAATAGAAAGCATCAATCGTGATTAATTAAATACATTTTTTCTTTTTTTGCCATTTGGTTTGAGCTTCTGATGTCCTTTCCTGCTCCAGAACAGAAAAATATCTTCCATTTTTTACTATATTAATTATATAGCTTTATATTTTTACATTTAGGTCTTTAATCCCATGGAGCCCACTTCTGAATATGGTATTAGGTAGAGATCCAGTATTTTTCTCCATAAAGTGAGACCATTTTCTCAGTATTGTCCTCTCCTTTTTTTTTAAGGTTGATGTAGCTCTTATGACCTTTATTCTTTCACAAATCTTTTTATGTTTACCATGTTTGAACATGAATAGGTTTATCATGTTCCTTAAAATATCGAAGTAAAAGCTTAACTGGAATTGCACTAATGCAATATTTGCTTAACCCATCCAGGAAAATAAGAGTTATCGCCAGGTACTTAGATCATCTTCTTTCTCTCAACACACATTTTTAGCAAGGAAATAAATGATAATAATGATTTCAACTCAAGCTAAAGAAAAATATTCAACACATACCGAACATGCCTAGATACACTAGTTGTTCAGTTGTAACTTACCAAAGCAGTTACTGCCGGGAAGTTTTTGGACATTTCTCTAAGAATGGTACAAGTCCTCACATCCCATAACTCCAGGGGTTTATCTTTGAATACAACTGCCAAATACTGCCTAAAATAAACATTATTAAATAAGCCCCCTTTTGCCAAATTTTTGCCATAAGTAATACAAATAAACAGTTAAGTAAATCAGAAAAGTCACATGATTTATTCTAAACACAGACCATATAAATTAATATTTAGTTCTCATTATTAATAGTCATTAAGAAGGTAATGCCCTAAGACGACCTTTGAGAGCCATAGAGCCACAATTAAGCAAGGAGCCCAGGTCAGAGGAAAGAATGAAAAAAGGCACAAGTCGACATTTCACCAATTTATCAATTTATAGTAACCGTCCCGAGGCTTCATTTTCTCATACATGACATGAGAACACCACTACCTATCCCAATGGATTGGTGTGCAGGTTATGGTAAAAATTAAATGAAAAAATAAAGGTTTTCACAAAGTTTCTATCATGCTGACACTGAGGAAATGTGACTGAGCAGGAAGATCCCTATATACTCAGTGTACCAAAGGCCTTAGGTTCTCTCACTCAGGACAAAGTCTGCCACTTGATAATTATGTGGCCTCAGATAAACCATGTAATCTTTTTGAGTTTTATTCTACTTATCTTTATAATGGTGTTCATAACATCTGTCTTACTCCCTCACTAAATGCTCTAAGAATAAAAAAAGGGAGGAGGGAATAGCACACATGAAAGAATTTTATATATCATTATGGATTATACAAAGGCAGTATGTTACTTTTTTTTATTATAGCTAACATAAAGGCATCTAATGGCTTATATGTAAATAACTAATGTAAGACAGAATCCGGTAAATGCTACAAAGATTCACTATGAAAGAGGAGACTTATTTTGACAACTGGGCAATGGCATTCTAGGCAGAGTTACAAATGTGACAAATGGCCAAGACAAGAAAGGACACAGAGTGGGGGAACCTGCTACCTGAAAATGTAGAGCACATAAGAGCATTCACCATGAGAAAGAAGATCGAAGTGTGAACTTTGGATCGCATTATGAATATGCCATGCTAGGTTGTACAGAGATTCACTCTGCAGAGAACAGTGGATCACTGAAGGTTTTAAAGTAGGGGGGATAAAGTGCTCACTTGCTTTAGAGGTATTAACGTAGCAGGTGTGTGTAGAGTCAAGACTGACTGGACACACAGAAGAGACTGGAATCCAAATAATTTGAGCAATTCTCAAACCCTGTAATCTCAAGATTCTTTCACATTTTTAAAAATTATTGAGGACCTCCCCCAAAGAACTTTTGTTTATGTGGTTTATAACAACTGACATTTTTCATATTAGAAATTAAGTCTAATAAATTAAAAACTATCCTTATTAATTCATTTTAAATTAAAAAGAAAATAACTAGCAAGATGGTAGATTTAAATATAAGCCACATTGATAATTATACTCACTATGAATAATTTAAACACTGCAATTTGAAACACAGATGACCAAATAGGAAAACAAGCCCCAACTACATGCCTTCTAGAAGATACCAACTTTAAATGTGAAGACATAGATCAGACACAAGTAAAAGGTAAGAAAAAGATATACTATGCAAACACTAATCCAAAGAAAGCTGAATGGCTATAAAAATTAGAAAAATCCAACTTACTTCTGAATAAAGAATAGTACCAAAAATAAAGAGGACATTTCACAACGATAAAGAAGTCAATCAAAAGGACATAACAAACAATACCAGATATGTATATACCTAATAAAAGAGTTTTAAAATACCCAAAGCAAGAACATGAGCTCTTCAAATAAAGCCCAGTATAAAGTTCATTTCAACATTCATCATTCAGTAATAGACAGGAAAGCAGGCAGAAAATCAGTATGAGATCTGAATAACTACCAACCTATCTGAACTGACATTTATGAAATATTCTAGTCAATAACAGCAGAATACACCACCTTTACCAGTGCATATGGAACATTCACTAAGACCACAGTCTGGGCCATATAACAATCTTTTAAATTTAAAAGGACAAAAATAACATAAAATATGCTCTCTGACTCTAATGGAAACCATAAATTAACAGAAAGGTATCTGGAAAACCCCTAAACATTTTGAAATTAAACAATATCTATAAGTATTTCATGGACATTTAAAAATATTATAAAGTGAATTAAAATGAAAACTCACCATATCAAAACATGTAGGTACAAAGAGTAGTGCTTATGTGACATTAAGTGCTTATATTAAATTTTAAAGAAAAGCCTTAATTCAATCATCTAAAGTTCTATCTTAAGAAACTAGAAAAAGAAAAACATATTAAACCAGAAGTAAGCAAGAAAAAGAAAAAAAGACACCTATGGCATTCACTGAAAAGAAAATAGAAAACCACAGAGAAAAATGAGAGAAACTAAAAAAGAGTTTCTTTGAAAAGATCAACAAAACTGACCAATATAATTTACTGATATGAGGAATAAAAGAGCCATCAATCAGATGAAACTGACCTTAAAAGATTAAGAGAATACCATGAACAAGTTTTTAATCAATAAATTCAACAATTCTGATGAAATGGACAGATTACTTGAAAGACACTAACGAAACTGAGTGAAGAAACCAACCAACCAAACCTTAACAGTCCTGCAGCTATGAAAGAACAGAGTACGTGCTTAAAAACTGTTCCACAAAGCAAGTTCTTGGCCCAGATAGGTTCACTGGTGAATTCTTCCTATTTCAATAAGGTATAATACCAATTCTACACAAACTCACCCATAAAAAAAAAAGGAGAGGAAGGAATATTTCACAACTCATTTTACAAGGTCAACATTACTCTGATTTCAAAACCAGCAAGGATATTACATGAAAACTGGATCAATATGCTTCGTGAGCACAGATGTAATAAAATATCAGCAAATCAAATCTAGTAATATATCATCACCAAGAAGAACTTATGCGAGGGATGGAAAGCTGGTTTAATATACAAAAAATCGGTCAATGTAATTCACCCCATTAGGCAACCTAAAACAAAAATCCATCATTATGAGGATGTCCCTAAATGCAGAAAAAGCATATGACAAAATCCATCAGCTATTCAACGATACAAAGTTTCAGTGAACTAGGTATAGAAAACTTCCTCAATGTAATAAAAGTCACCTACAAAAAAATCTACGGACATATTTAATGTTCAAAGACTCAACACTTTTGCAGTAAGATCCAGGAATAGAACAAAGATGTCAGTTCTCATCAGCTCTATTCAACATTGGGGAAAACAGAGATGTAGAAGAGTCTTTACTGGCAAACAACATGGTATGTCTATAGAGAAAATATTAAAAAATCAAGAAAAATGCAATTAGAAATAATAATTAAGTTAGCATGGTCACGAGGTCAATACCAAAAAATTAACTATTTCACTATACCAGTAATGAATAATTGGTAACTGAAATTTAAAAAAGGAAAAAATACATGTATAATAGTACTGAAGAAAAAAAAAAATTACCAAATGACAATGAAGAAATAATTACTGAAAGGCATTAAATCCCTAAATAAGTGGAACAATACACCATGTTCACGAATCACAACACTTGTTAAGACATCAATTCTTTCCCACATTGGTCTATGGATTCAAAACCCCAGGAAGCTTTTTTGGTAAAACTGATAAGCTGATTCTAAAATTTATATGGAAATGCAAAGATCCTAGAAAAGCTAAAGCAATTTTGAAAACTATTTTAGAGAGCTTACTCCTTCCTTCTTTGTTCTTCCAATTGGTTTTCATCCAGTCTCTGTTTAATAATCTTACTTTACATGTACTTTCCCTTGGAATGAAAAACTCAAAAACTTACTGAAATTAAAATAGGTCTAAATTATAAACAAAGAAAATCAGTTCCTTGATTCAACAAACCCATGTTGAGATAGAAATGCATATGAATTTCGCTAGATGACAAAGCTTCTTGGTGACAGGCGTTTACATCCCTACTGCTACAGCAGAATGAAAGAGCATTACTGCTTTTACCAATATAATGAAAATTTTTTTTCATTTTACTTTATTTCTTTTCAGTGTTCCAAAATTCACCACACCCAGTATAATATTAAGATTCATACAAAAGTTATCTCATCTTTCTAAAAAGTAGTAATTAAAAGCAATAGCAGTTTAATTTTGTGATCAAAGTATTTTCTTGGGAATGGCTGCAAAGCACCATTTACTGTCACTAAGAAATTCTATATGCATTCTAGCACAGTCCTCCTTTCTTAAAGATTAAAAAATATCCTTAAGGTTCTATTGTAGTAACACCACAGATTTCTTTTTGGTTCACACTTACTTCAAATGAGATACTTTAATCATTTCGATGGGTGATTCATCATTGCCTCGTTCACCGCGAAAAGCAATGCTCCTACCTTTAATTGCAAATATTAAAGAAAATGTAAAATATCAGATGAAACATCTAAGACACAAAAAGCTATACACACCAAAGGAATCTGATCAGTGCTGCCTCTACTCTCCCATTCATTCCTCTACTTGCTTCTAAGCTCTTTCAAGTAATCTAAATTCAAAACGTATTCTCAAAAGCATCATCCTTGAAGACCAATAATATACTACTTGTATTCAAATATCTCTTATAAAATGGTATTTCCCTTTGTTACAGAGTTTCTTGAATATTTTCAGTGGTTTCTTTCAAATAGTTATATTTTAGAAATTCAAAAATACCAATTTCCAGAGTTTCAATACATGTATGGTAAAGAAATGGTCTACTGGGAAACGACTGGTATATTTAAAGTTACAGAAACACTCCCATGCTCATAAATACTAACCAGCAGGGAAAACACTCTTTAAACAGATATTTAAGATTTTCTCTCCCAGGTACAAATTGCTCAACTGAAATACTTTTGAACTGTTCCTATCAAAAGGTCTCTACACACTGAAACTAGGGAATGATAAGAATTAGCTAACTACCAAAGAAGCTAAACAGTCTTCTCTAATTAAAAAAGGCAAATTCTACTTTACGTGTGAACAAATACATTTTTGTAACTTTTCCCACATTTTTATTTACATTAAGCAAAAGAAAGCACGTTCAATTCAGTGACAGTTGAGTGCCTGCACGACTCCCCACTCCTCAGTGCTGTCAAATGGGGCCCCTGTTCTTACTTGCCAAACACCCGCATCCTTTCCTGAACATCCTTGTAAGACAGGCTAGAAAAGTCTATAATCTATGAACTCAAATATCCCACTTAAGCAAGTTAATAATTATGACTTCCAAATTTGTTGCTTAAAAATAAATCTGTGAAAGAAAGATTTTAAGTTATCTAGCAGGTCTGAGCTGACTGGAAAAAATAAAAAGGATTTTTTTTTTTTTTTTAAGTGAATGATACTAGAAAACAGCAGTTTGCCCCTGGGCTACCATGTCATCAGAGAGACCCGAATACAGGGCAGGTCACTTCCAATGAGACCAGAACAACACTGGACTGATTTCAGTGGGGTTAATTCTTGAGGTTTAGTAACATACTCAGTAAGTAAGAACAACCATATATTGGAAATACGTATTGAGAAAATAACTTGATTTACTACACACACGTGCACACTCACATATATCCTAGGATTCAAACTATCTACATATATTCTTATTGCTACACCATTTTAAAGAAACTCACTATAATTTTGTTGCAAATTCTATTTGAAGTCATGCAGGTATCATAATTTGAAACTCTCACCTTATTCTATCTCAAAGTTCATTTTGAAATTCATTGAGTTGTAGGTTTTTAAACAATTCTGAACAAGTTACTTTACTGGAATGCCTCCTCCTGGAAAGTCTCCAAGCTCTTTCCCTCTTTAGACAGAGACTATCAAAAGTTTTAAATTTGAGCTCTTAAAGACAATCCTTACTTAAACATTTATAAAGGTTTTCCTAACAAAGGCCTAAAGTTTTAGAAGAGAATCTAACAAAGCCTACCACAAAGATTTGTGTTAAAACCGTGCTTCTGGTTATCTATAACAATGTACTTAAAAGTAGAAGTGATACCCTACGTACTTATGAATCTGTCTGTTCAGGCTAATGGTACTCCATTTGCCATGTACTCAGGTTTACACAATTTGCATACAAACAACAACCAGGAGACTTTTCAGGGCAATTATTACAGAAAAACAACAACAGAATGAATATACAAAGAGGATCAATATGACAAACCCTTTCCAATCTTTTAGTAGCCTAAATACACGAACCTGTGGGAAGATCTACCAGCTGAAGTTCATTTCTCACTAATCCCGTATTGTTCGGTGTTGAAGTAGCAAAGGAAAGAAAACCAGTCAAACTGGTCCATTCGATACCCCTAAAGTGAGAAATTAAATAAAGTTCGGTCAAATACCCTTTTTTTCTGAGCAACTTATTTGAAAAATAAGTTTTTCCTACAATCTAAATTCTATTATACAAGTTAATTAAGAATATTAATATAACTTTTCATTTGAGACTAAATTACCATATGTTTCCAATATACATATGAAATTATTTCTAATTAAAACCACTTTATCTCCACATGTAATGGGGGGCGAGAGAGTTTAGTTGCCAGGATTCACAGCAGCATTAACATGACTATCAAAATCTGGCACAGAAGAGAGTCACACATCGCATTAGTGTTCAAGAATTCCATTCCTTAAGAAAGAGTGGTATTAAAATATTCTGAGCCCGATTGCTTAAAAAGATGGGTACACTGAGGGATTTATCAAATTTCCTATTTGGTTAGGAGGGAGAAATTCCTGAAGTAAACAATTCAAACTGAGCAGTGAGATTTGGAAGTGGCTGACAATTCCAAATGGTGTCTTAATTAGAGAAAAGCACAAAAGAAAAATCTCAAAGAAATGATGACAGGACAGCAAGCAACCTATCTACCGGATGCCTGGGAGTCTCCTTCATGAGGACTGATAGCAAGTGAGTCTGCAGTTTCTCCCACTGACGTTAACTACAGTGTTAACCACCATGGCTTGTGGAGAATGGAGGCCGGGGGTGGTGGGGGGGTGGCAGAGAAGGAGACACAGGATAAACTGACCATCAGAGTCAAAACAAAAAGGAGAACACTGTACAAAATCACTCTGTACTGTGCTCTCTATGTAAGTCTGGCAGCGTCAGTCAGATCTGCGTACCCACAGAAATCCAAGACATGCTCTCCAAGACGTGTAGCTGCCGATCTGCACACCTATGCTCTATACAGTGACGCCATGATCTCTGGACACTAAGAATCCCCGCCACCCATTCTTCATTATTTTTAAAAATCTATCTGGGGGTCGCCTGGGTGGCTCAGTGGGTTAAGCCTCTGCCTTCGGCTCAGGTCATGGTCTCAGAGTCCTGGGATCGAGTCCCGCATCCGGCTCTCTGCTCGGCAGGAAGCCTGCTTCCTCCTCTCTCTCTGCCTACTTGTGATCTCTGTCAAATAGATGAATAATCTTTAAAAAAAATCTGTCTGGGAAGTACCTAGTGTATACACATGACTGTGCAAGGGCTCCAGGACTACCACTTGAACGATCTGACTGCTATCCTTCTGCAGCTTATGATCTAGCAGAAAAAAGGCATTACACCAGTGCGTCCTGGACTCCCTATTACAAAAGAACTGGTACAGAGTTCAATCAGGACTTGTAAGAGTGGCACAGAATCTGGCCTCCAGGGCCCGCTGAGACCCAAAGGGCAAGTAGGGTGTTGCCTAAAAAGCATGCGGAAATAGTGTGGCTAAGAAACACTGCACTGGGCTGCATTCTCTTTGAAGGGAGGTACCACATCATGCTTCTCCAGCACGTGAAAGGCACTTAGTAAACTCTGTTGGATTTAATGAATGATGTCCGAGGAAAGCCTTGCACTCCTCCTCATGATTTTTAGTGTCACACATACTCAGCCTGCTTTCCCCGCTGCCTGTAAGACAAAGACATCACCTTTGCTAGGGACAGAGCACAGAACAAAACATGGAGTGGCTTTTATTTGTAATGCGGCACTATTCGCATGCCGCCTTCCAGCAGATTCCAGCAGCAGCTTCCCTGAGTCCTACTGATCGACTTGAAGAAAATAAAAGTCAAGTCGGACTTCAAAGAAGATTAGATAAGGGTGGGATTATCCCTCTATAGAAAAGAATGAAAACTCTTGTCAAACACTGCACCCACCCAGGGCTCTCAGAATTAGAAAGCTATTGTCTGGGTTTACCTACACACTGAGATCTATCAAAAAACTCGTGAGCACAGCAGCTCATTTTAGGACTCGATATAGGATCGCTCTGTTGGATTCTGAACTAGTGAAAAACCGTAAGCGTAGACTGTCAGCAGGCATTTGTGGTTCTAACTCCTACAGGTTCGCAGGCTGGCCCTGCTGGTTTCTCCTGGGGCTGCTGTAGATGCTACTTCTCCACCCTGGGGGGCTGCAGGAAGCACCCACCTCTGGAAGGCCTTGAAGTTCTATAATTCTATGAAACTAACCTCTGCAAATTTATAGACAAAACAGAGATTATTGTACTTTGCACAAATCAATTTACTAAAAGCAATACTGAATCAGTCAATGTTCTGATAGCCCTGTAAACTGCTATTTTAGGAAGTCTGACACTGAAAAGAGCATTGTGCTATATTATTGTAAATTTAGCCTACTGGACAAAGACACAAACTAATAATCCAAAAAAGTCTAATAATCTAAGGAAACCTCCACATACCATTTATTTATTCCTTGGTATCTTCCATTGGATTATAAGCATCAAAGGTTATGTTTACAGGAATACAGAAGCTGCTCAGTATGTATTTGTAACACCAAACTGGCTAAAGCACATGATTCTGAAAACAACCCACAGCAAAACCAGCCGCAGTTAGGCAGTCCCTGCCCAGGCATACACATAAGATTCAAGTATGTGAGTGATCTTTAAAAAGCGCATTTAGGGGGCGCCTGGCTGGCTCAGTGGGTTAAAGCCTCTGCCTTAGGCTCAGGTCATGATCCCAGGGTCCTGGGATCGGGCCCTGCATCGGGCTCTCTGCTCATTAGGCAGCCTGCTTTCTCCTCTCTGCCTGATTCTCTGCCTACCTGTGATCTCTGTCTGTCAGACAAATAAATAAAATCTTTAAAAAAGAAAAAAGAAAAAAAAAAGAAAAAACGCGTTTGGTACAAAGTAAAGGCAACCTTTTTAAATGTTGACCTTAAATTTGCATATAAATATCTAGAATATGTTGGGTTTATTGCTAATAAGTTCAGCAATTTTTATGACACATCTGTGAAATTTTCATAATGGCTTTTAATTGTAATACTATAATCACATTAATTGAAACACAAAGACGGCAGGATTTCAGCATCCTCTTAGGCATCATCTCTGAATATAAAATGTGAATTATCTTCAAAATGGTAATTATGAGGGAAAATTCACATAAAAAAATGGAGCACATTTGTGTGATCATTCACAACATCAGCTTTTGTAGCATATCCGTTATTTCGTATCCCAAGTAACACTATAATTTCAAGTATTACTCAATAACAAATATTATCACAGCATGCGTAAGTCATGTATTTAGTGACATCTACCATCTGAATGTTCCAGGAAAACAAATCTCATTTAAAACTAATAGCTTGCTGATAAACTTGCTATTGAGTCTTTATTAAAGTCTTCAGTGTTCAGAAAAAAATGAAAATGTACTTGATTTTCCAGAAGCAGGTACAAATTTCTAGCATGAATCCTGGCTCAATCAACATTTTCATTTTATTGCCAAAATGTGCCTGAGGTGCATTTTTTTAGCTGGAGATATAGCAAATGCACTTTAAGTAGAAAGGTCAGTTCTGAAGCCTGAAAGGCCCAGATTAAATTTCACAGATTACAATACTGAGTTTCTTCTATAAATTGGGAATAAAACTAGTGCCTACCACATAGAGGAGTGGGGAGTCAAAGAAATGGTCACGCAAAGTATTAACACTTAATACGTCCCCGGAACAAGTACTGACTAAATGGAGAATTTGACTGGTGGGTGTTGGACACAAAAGCAAACACTATACACTAAGCCAACGGTGAAAGGAAATGTTAAGAAAAGCAATGTAGGGGACCTGGGTGGCTCAGTGGGTTAAGCCTCTGCCTTCGGCTCAAGTCATGATCCCAGGATCCTGGGATCCAGCCCTACATCAGGCTCTCTGCTCAGCAGGGAGCCTGCTTCCCCTCTCTCTCTGCCTGCCTCTCTGCCTAATCGTGATCTCTCTCTCTCTCTCTCTCTCTCTCTCTCTGTGTCAAATAAATAAATAAATCGTAAACAAAAAAAAAAAGAAAAAAGAAAAGCAATGTAGACAGGAAAGAAAGGGAGACAGCAGGTAGCAGCAGTGGCAGAAAGGTCTCATGGAGGAAGAGAAAGAGGAGCAGCCTGACATGGCCCCAACACAGACCTGTGTCACTGCACCCAGGGGACTAGTGACTCTGAAGACATTAGGACGCCACGCAGAAGTACTCAAGGAGCTCCTGGAGGGCTCAGCAGGAGGTGGAGACCGGCAGCTACCTGGGCTGCACCACAAACAACGTACTTGACAGAATAAGGCAATGAAGACTCTTCTGGAAATTCCATCACAATCAGGTGTCATACTTAAAGGGTTAACCTTTCCCCATCCAGAAAATACAATTACTCAGAATAAAGTATTTAGGAAGGATTAACTACGAATTTTAACATGTGCATAGACCTGTGATTATATAACGTACAGAGGAGAGAAAATGTCCTTTCTTGTACATTTGTTAAAAGATCACCCAAAAATATGGGCGATGTAATAAATTTATGTTATCACATGTAACTTCACAATCCATCATGGCTAGAGCAAAGGAAGGGGAGCAGCCCCGCCCCCAACAAAATAATGCTGTGGAGACGCAGGTGCTTCAAAACCAAGCAACCTTCTTCCCTCAGCTCCCTCTGATTGCACAGCACTCATCAAACACAACACCTCAAAATGAAACTAGAAATGCTATCCAGTTGGGTCCTTTTCTCATGGTGTTTAAACAAAGAACAAATGAGATTAGTTAATAATTAACATGACTTCATTCAAATTTGTCAGGAATAGTCCTACCAATGGATCTTTATAGAAATGAAAAACAAGCTATATCCATCTGAACAAAGGAACACAGGGACAGCCAGTGAGAAAATATCCTCGACAATCAGATGCCGCAATAGAAGTTAGACAAAATTTTCCACTACATGATATCCTTTTACAAAGCAAACAATTAGTGTTCAGCCTTGATTAACATAACCATTACTTAAATTTGAATATTTATTATTCAAAACTTTTAGGCAAATAATCACCACTGCATAATGTTCAATGTAGAAAAGTGTCCCGGAACTTCTTTCCAGTATGCTTTGTTTGTGATCTCAATGTCACAATGCATACTCACTTGACTTCACAGGAGTGGACACTTAACTCCTTATGCAGCAGCCCACTGGTGAGGTGGTACACCAGGACAGAACCGTTACCTGTACCTATCAAAACAATATAAGAGAATAGAATTACTCAAGCCGTAGTTCCAGATCTTTCCCAAAAGTCTTTTCTCAAGATTTTAATAATTTTATAAATTTATCTTTTATAAAAGGGACTCAAGCTATGTGTAAGAGTGAATTTCTCTGTCTACTCTCTTTTCAAAAATGGGCCTAATCTCGTGTGCTCTGAGATCTTCCTAAATCCAGGGACAGATTTTCACAAAAGACTTCAACATCTAACTCAATACACATAAAATTTGAAGAAGCACTTTGCTAAGCTTTTTCACACATGGGAACTTCTACTTTTTCAGATTTGGAATGTTTACAAGAGCCAGTCCTCAGTCCTCAGCAGAACTCAGAAACCAGATCTTTTCTATTTTTCTTTCCAAAGATTTTTGTTTTGTCTTCATATTCTAAAAATCACAGAGATGGTCAAGTGTGGTGGTTAACTATGGATTTTGCAGTTAAACTAGCCCGAGTTCAAGCTCTGGCTCTGTCTTACACTCATACAAATTACTTGCCCACACTAAATCTGTGTTTTTAATTCCTTTAACATGGGAATAACAGAAAATCTACTTGCTGAAGAGTAAATGAGAAGACACAGTTCAAACATTTACTACAGTACCTGGCACAAACTAAGCACATGTTTATCACTATTTCTATTACTGTTGTAATTCAGTTTGTAGTTATTTTATGTCTAAAGCTTTTCATGGCCTCAGGTAGTGTGTGTCTATAATTTAATCTGGAGGAACACGGCCATTCTTGGAAAAGTAATGTTTTAGTCCTTAAAATGTTTTTATAAGTTAAGCAAGAAAGTGAATGGTATAATTGCTTGGACAATCATTTTCTCACTGCACAGGACTTTAAAAAAAATGAATGGATTCACACAGAATGTAGACATGACAGAATGTAGAAATGACAGAATAGTAATAGAGATAAAAACACTAGACAAGTTCCAATTTTAGCGTACCTGCTGCTAAATGCTTCATTAAATATTTTACAGAACTAATCTAGAAAAATATAGTATTATACTTGTTTACATTTATCATCTATTCCACAGTAATACCTTCTATTACTGAGACAATATCTGAAGAATTACTAAAACTTTTCAATTAACAGATCATCATAATAAAATGATTTTTGCATCCTGCAAGCTTTTTGCTTTTTGAGGGGGTTGGTGTTTTGGGGGTTTTTTTTGAGAGAGAGACAGCATGCACGCATGTTCGCACACTTGCACAATGTGGGGGGATGAAAGGGAGGGGTAGAGGGAGAAGGAGAATTTTTTTTAATATTTTACTATTTGACAGAGAGAGTGAGAGAGCACAAGCAGAGGGAGAAGCAGGCTCCTCGCTGAGCAGGGATCCCAATGCGGTCTCGATCTCAGGAACCATGACCCCAGCTGAAGGAAGATGCTTAACCAACTGAGCCACCCAGGTGCCCCAAGTAAAGAGAATCTTAAGCAGGTTTTATGAACAGCACAGAGCTCTATGCAGGGCTCGATTCCATGACAGTGAGATCATGACTTAACCTGAAATCAAGAGACAGATGCTTAAAAGACTGAGCCACCCAAGTGCCCCTACATTCTGTAGGTTTTAATGATGCCGAACCTGTGATCTAATATTCTAGGGGCTCCACAAGGAGCAGTAATTCCATAGTGGAACTCTGACTCTTTGCCCTAGTGAATGCGAAAATTTAGGAACTTATTTTATATTTTTTCTTTTTACTTTGTGATTATACTAAATTCAATAAATGACTTGATCATCACACTATACAAGTAAAATACAGCTTATTCTACAACAGAAATCTCAGACCCTGACTTAGCTCTCAATTATCTAGCTATGGCAAGAAGTACTTTTCTCCAAGAAATTGACAAAATCCTAACTGACAATTTAGGTATACTGACACTGTATATACATGTACTATAATGTACATTAACAAATTTCAATTAAAATTTCTCTAAGAGGTTTAATATAAGTCAATAGTTTCTAAAGCAAAAACTAAATATTTATCTGCATTTATATAAATCTGGACACATATACACACAGACTACCAAACTTTAAAATGCAAACCACTTTCAGAAGACAGTAATGGAAAAACTGGGAAAATCAGAATACTGCCAAAACCGATTACTCAAGTGAGCCTTTAGGACTCATGAGTAGGTTGTTAGCTAACTGAGACCTACTAGCAACAAAGTAAATGTGGATGAGGCTTTCATTTTAGAAAAAAAAAAAACAAAAAAACCCCACAAATCATGTTATAGACCTAGAGAGAAAGCCAGAAGCCAATGAACAGCATCTTAAGAAACAATGTTGACAATTTCAAATGAATATACTACTTTTTGAAATTTTTGAGAAATCCATTTTAACCTTCTGTACATAATAGCAAATAAAATTTGTTTTTTATCTATGAAGGAGATTAGATTACTCACATTATTATGAAATTAATGTGACAGGAGGTTGAAACCAAGACCAATTTTCTATCAATAATATAAAACTATGCAATTTCAACCCAAAAGGCAAATCTAAAGAGACCACAGCCATTTTAAACAATGTTCAATATACAATTCTTGGCAAATGAAGAACATTGCTATTACTAGACTACTAACTAGGACTAAAAAACACAAGGAATCTGGATTTAGCATCACGCAGAGATTATTCTCCTAACATTTCAGAAAGGTACCCATTGTGGTATCTCTATCACCCAGTGTCAGGTGGATGAGTTAATACTGTGATGAGTGAAGTCAGTCAAGCAGAGAGAGTCAATTATCATATGGTTTCACTTACTTGTGGAGCATAAGGAATAACATGGAGGACATGGGGAGATGAAGAGGAGAAGTGAGTTGGGGGAAATCGGAGGGGGAGACAAACCATGAGAGACTATGGACTCTGAGAAACAAACTGAGGGTTTTGGAGGAGAGAGGAGTGGGGGCTTGGGTGAGCCTGGTGGTGGGAATTAAGGAGGGCACGTATTGCATGGAGCACTGGGTGTGATGCATAAACAATGAATTTTGGAACACACACAAAGAGATTAAATTAAATTAAATTTTAAAAAATTTAAAAAATAAATAAAAAGGGTGGATTAAAAGGACAGAAAAACAAAAGAAGAAAAATATTTTCAGATGAGTATATATATGATTTCATGGGGCCTCTTCCTCCTTATCCTCAAATAAAGGATTTTCTAATAACTACCAAACTTAAATGTCTTATAAAACATAAAACAGGCACGAAGGATTAAGAAAAGAATAGATCCAATACTCACCAACGGCGAGCAGTGGCTGATACACCTTGATGTTTTTGGTGGTCAGTGGCGGGCACATACGGATGGCAAACTGCGGGGAGGGCAGCCCTGAAAGCAGTCCCGTCAGCAGGAAGCGGAGGTGCACCTCCTGCAGAATGGGGCCTTTGGGATGCTCCTCCCCAGCAATGGCACTTTGTCCTTAGGGGTGAGCAAAAGTACAAATATACTTATTACAATGTATTCTGAAATGTAAAGAAAATTGCAGCAGCAATCCTCTTCAGGTCTACAAGGTATCAGGTGGCACTCCAGGGGCCGCAGCTAAAGAATGGCTCTGTACTTGGCTCCAGGATGGAAACTGCACTGTCTGCCACCTCAAATTATAGATTACTCTGGAGGACTGCTGTCCAGAATTCAGGGACTTTTGCCAGCCAAAGTTCCCAGTATGAGGCACCAAACAAGGCACATCAGGGGACCCGGGTCAGAGACCAGCTTCTGGGGAGTGGGACGCTGCAGCACATTCCCACCTTAACACCCTCCTTTCTAAAGGGTTGCTTTTCAATCTAATGCACTTTCTAAACCATACACAACACTGGTGATCACCAACTGTAGGTTCAAGGAACTCATTTAGGTTTCTAATAAGAAATCTTTTCAATGTGTCAATGTAATTACAAAATCTAAGCTTTATAATTAAATACTTCATACATAAAGATATCAAATAAATAATATATACAACATAAATTACACATAAATAAGAATATACAAATACATAATATAAAGAATATATAAGTTCACTGTTGATAGTTAAATCTTAAATGGGCATTATTTTCAGATACAGCGATTATACTCAGGTTATTAAGTTTCAAACTGAAAGGCTTCAGTAAAACCATTCTAACAAAACGTGAACATGATGAGTACAAAACCCAGACCATTCACTAAAAAGGGTATACAAATTTTCTGCCTATAAACCATTCTTGAATACTGGGATATAGTCGTCAAAAATACATAATAAAGGATACCTGAGTGTGTATGTACCCACAACACACACACACACCCGTGAAAGGGAAAAATGTAAATAATTACCATAAGCAGGTGATGGGATTGTGAATACTGTAACCTTCTGAGGCTATAAAGTTGTTTTAATAACAATGTTATTTTAAAATTCATAAGATGTACAGAAAAAATGGCCATGAATTTAATCCAAATAAAAAGATCCCATGATATCATATGATTGGTGTCAAACTTTGATAACAGAAGATGGGAGTCTAAAGGAACATGGAGTTCAACAGAGAAGTACCACGTTTACAAACCCTCCACAGCTTGGAATGGACTCTGGGAATGGCCATCATTTTTCTTCAAACTTCTTCCATAAGAGGCAATTCACAAGGTAGGGCAGATTAGGCCTTAAAAAGCAGCAGGCTGTACCCAATGAATATAAATCAGGCCTCTATATTTAGCTGAATTGCTTTCAACTATCACTAAGGACATTGTGAATATCAAATTAAAAGTTTAATTAAAAGTTTTAATTAAAATGTTTTTGAGTAACAGAGCTTTATTTATTTAATGCTTTCAAATCAACTACATTATCAGGAACTGTATACAATCTGTATCCTTTTGTCTTTTAAAAAAAATGTAATTTATATCACTTAGACACCTAAATAGCATGAAATTCCAAACTCCCATGGGCTCTGTATTACTGATTAGTTCTGTGCATGAGTGTTTATTTTATAACTCTTCACTTTAATATTTTATATTAAGTGGAGACAAGGTCAATTAACTCAGAAAACTATATTACTGATAAAATGAATTTTGCAAAACAAGTATGTGTCTAAACTTCCTCATATAGATTTATGTCTGGAAGGTGAAGAGAAAGAACTTTAAATAAACAAGTTAGTGTCAGTGAACAGAAGGATTTTACAAATGGCAAGAACCACAAGAAAACCAAGGCCTGGGAGAGGTCAGGTCTTGCCTAAGATCACAGTGGAGTAGCCAGGACTAGAGGCCACAGCCAAGGAGGGTCAAGATTAAGGCGACCTTTTCTTGGCTCTGTGGTATGGGGCAAGTTTTTTTAAATCTCTCTGGATCTCAGTTTCCACTTTATAAAACAGAAATAATAATATTACCTACTTCGCAGGTTTATTAAGGTAATACATAGGGCATTTAGCGCAGTATTTAACACAGTAGTAAGTATGCAATAAATGCCATTTATGATTAAGATTAATAAGGTAATGCCCTTCCTAGTATTATCATGTATCTAGCATTTAAACAAAATAATACTGATCTTCAATTACATTATGAAAGAACAAATAACGACAAAGAAAATCCTTTATAAGCCACGGCCACAATTTTAAAAGAATTAAGACTTCAAAATTGCTTGGCATATTTACAACTTCTAGTTGTACAATCTCTGAAATCACAAATCTTCATTCTTCCTTTAATATATATGTTTTTTATATATGAATTTTATATGAAATTTTTTTTACAGATTTTACTTATTTATTTGACAGATAGAGATCACAAGTAGGCAGAGAGGCAGGCAGAGAGAGAAGAAGGGAAGAAGTCTCCCTGCCGAGCAGAAAGTCCCATACGGGGCTCGATCCCAGGACCCCGGGATCATGACCCGAGCCGAACGAAGGCAGAGGCTTTAACCCACTGAGCCACTCAGGTGCCCCTCTGAAACAATATTTTATCTGTAAATAAATTTGCTGAATCCCCAACACGAAAGTTTAATCATGATGTTAAAATGACTTTTTCTAATACTGCTCAGTTACTTTATTCCTTCAATAAATGTTCACTGCACATCTTGAATATACAAGGCTCGTTGCTGGGTGCTAGGGATACAAAGTGCAATCAAACACTGTCCCACACTTACAGAGTTTATAATTCACCGGAGGAACCAAACAGAATCACCATTCCAACAACAGATAACTATCAGGGACTGCAAATGAAGAACATTTAAGTCAGGCTACAAGACTAAAGAAAGCAACACTTGAGTTGAATTTTAAATTAGGAGCAGCAGAAAGGGAGAAAGAGGAGCACATATTCAGTTCCAAGCCAGGGAACCAGACCGCAGGAAGGCCCTGAGGAGTGGGGTATAGCTCGACACGGCACAGATCTAGTATTCAAATGCCTCATGTCATCTCCTTCATTTCAGTCAAGAGTCTCTCATGAATGAACATTTTCTAATTCCAATAACTGTAATGCCAATATATGCTTTCCGGCTTATATAGTTCATATCCTCTGATTTACTGAGGGAAAAAAATGATCCCACATTCCAGTTTTCTCAGGTATTAACTTTGACTTTATAATAATTGCAAATCAGTGACTATTAATTTTGCCCTTCAAGAAAAATACCTAACATAAATGTGAGAGGAAAACACTAGCTTACCAATCGTGTTATCTAAGGAGAGGTCTGGGAGCTTACTGGGTGGCGCTCCTACAGCTCCTACAGGAATTCCACAGAAGGACACGGGCGAATATAAAGGTGACGCACCAGAACTACTGCAAAGACATAATAATCACATGTTTTTACATATTTAAAACCCCTGTCACAGTTTAGTGACTCAAATTACTAGTTTCAGATCATAGCCTTCTATCCATTTTTATAGTATTTATTAATCTTGCCACAGTGAAATATTTCCAGCAGGTTTACATAATTCCCTAATAACCTAAAGTCTAAATTCTCACTTAAAAAAAATTTTTTTTTAAGTCTCTGCTATTTTCATGATTCTGCTACTTTTTTTTAAAGATTTATTTATTTATTTGAGAGAGCAGGCGAGCGAGCGTGCACCATCAGGGGAGAGGAGCAGAAGGAGAGGCAGAAGCAGGCTCCCCACTGAGCAGGGTGCCTGACATGGGGCTTGATCCCAGGACCCTAAGATCATGACCTGAGCAGAAGGCGATTAAACCCCCCAGGCGCCTGATTCTAGTAATTTTCTAAAAAGAGGTAACAAAGCAAACCAGAAAACAATCCTATTGACTCACTTACCTGCTCCGTGAATTTCGATTACAAACGGCGGACTTGAGTTCCCATATCATGACCCTGCCATCACTCACTATGAGGGCGGCTGCATTCTCATTAACAGGACAACACACCATACTGAAGGGACGGACAGTTTTTGTCACCCTGATTGCATCGCACTGGCTTCGTAAATCATAGGTAAGCTCCTGGACAGGATCTGGATCTTAACATAGTATTGTTTTCTTTTAAATATCACAAAGCAACACAGCAATATCACTACTATTTGCTTTAATTTAAATAAAACCTCAACTAAAAAGATCATTCCTTCACTAGCACAGTTTGTCAAAAATTTTACAAGTATTTTTTACTTTTACAAGTATTACTAATTTCTTCAGAATATAAATATGATTCATTTAATGGCTGTCCACACCAAGTTTAGTTTCCAAAATAAAAACTACAATCAATATAGTTTGTTTTTTAATATTATTAAAATAAAGAAAACAGCTTTGAAAAAGGATCAACAGTGATATGACTAAATAATGTACAGTACACTAGAGGTCATCATAATTTATAGTGGCCTCAGTAAGCCTGAAAATAATGGTACTCTACAAAAGACGTGAAAGTCGCTTTTGCTTTTAGAAGTACAACATTTTACAACACAGTGCTTTCATTCTCCAGAATAAGACTGAAACTGACAATACCCTGGAGACTTATTAACCTATGTCATTTTACAATGGACATTCCTAAAGCAGAAAAGTCAGGGGTGTAATAATAAAGGTATTTTAAAAGGCTCCACTTGTGCTGAAGAAAAAGACACAAAGATAGTATCTACTTGGCTCATGGATACAACTAAGTAATTACGAAATATTACTTTCTTTGCTGCATATAGGAGGGGCACTATTATAAAACCATGAAATTTACCATGGCTTGATGCTTTTTTATGCCCCATTTTACAATCATATTCTACTTTCCCAAGGCCAGGATTACCATTAACTCTATGCTTTGGCTGGTATCCGCCACATGAAGGCTTATGAAATTCTGGAGAAAAATATTCTAATATTATTCTAAGATATAAACTCACCTGGTTCCTCATTTGAAGTGGTAAAAACACTATTATAAGATCTTCGAACACGTAAAGTTATACAACCATTTTCATGTAGGCAAAATAACCCATCACGTTGAAAGCAGGGTATTACCTTTAAACAGATAATGTATTCATTATAAAAAACACAATAGATTAAAAAGTATATGCCGGGAAGCTCATAAATTCATATTTAGAGAATATGGACAGAAAGAAAAAAGAAAAACAAAAATACACACATAATCCCCAAGCTTGAAAATTAAATGAATTATTCAAAAACTCCATTTATGGCACACCTGGGGGGTGCTGAGTCCCTTGAGCAGCCAACTCTTGATTTCAGCTCAGATCATGATTTCAGGGTCCTGGGATCAAGCCCTGCCATCAGGCTCCACACGCAGCAGGGAGTCTGCTTCAGGATGCTCTCTGCCTCTGTACCCGCCAACCCCCACCCCTGACTTGCTGGTACTCACACACATGTGCGTGTGCACGATCCCTCTCTCTGTAATAAATAAATCTCTAAAAAACAAAGAAAGACCATCCATTCATAATCATAAAAATTTGACTTTATCCAGGTAACTTAAATAGTTCAATAAATATCTCCAGATCAGAAGAATTTCTAAGGTAAATCACATGAATCAAAAGTGTAGAAAAATAGGAATACACAGTAACACTGTTAATTTTTTTTTTTTAACATTTTATTTATTTGAGAGAGAGTGTGAGCATGAGCAGGGGGAGAGGGGAGAGGGAGAAGCAGACTCCCCGCTGAACAGGGAGCTCAATGCGGGGCGTGATCCCAGGACCCTGGGATCATGACCTGAGCCAAAGGCAGGCACTTAACCAACTGAGCCACCCAGGCAACATTGTTAATTTTTAAATAAGTAGAAAAGAGAAAGTGGAACTAAGGATTTCTGCAAGATTATGTTTTTACTCTCTATAATATTCATAACCAACTTGGGGGGATATAACTTTTAGATCATACATACCTGCAGAAATGGAACTCCTGTTCGTTCTATTGCAATCACACCCACTGTTTGATTCACCTCAAGGTCAAGGATTAAAATCTCCCGAGGATAGAGTAACAACATGTGGTTTCTCTTGGAAGGCAGATGTGCCAACTGAAGGCAATCATTTAGGGTTATAAATTCAGCACTGAAAGAAGTGAACATACTTTAGGCATCAAGAAATAAGTCAAAGACTTTATTCATATCAGAAAAAGCTAATAAAGGACTGAATTTTGTCCTTTCCACATAACTGTCAATGAGAAGATACAATTGTTTCCTGAAATGACCAACAGGGACTAGCATCTAACACTAAGATCTCTACTATGTGCCAAAACCCAAATTATGACAAATGGTAATGCACAGACTGGATAGAGATACAGGTCTAAATTTTTGAAAAATTTAAGTAGTAAGTCTATAAAGTGACAAAATCAGTAGTTTTATTTTTATTTTGCAATTAGAAGTACCAAACAGATTGCTGAAATCAAGACAGCATCAGAACAAAGCAATCTGGGCAATTAGGGCCCTTGGACCAGGAGTCAATGGATTATCTGTATGACCTTGGGCATGTCACTTCCTCCCCTCTGCCTTCATTCACTTCTAAGCCACCTTAAATCTTTTTTGAAACAAAGTGGGGTATTTTATTCACTTATCACAGTATTTTCTTCTATGTAAATAAAACTGATAAAACTTTATAAAGATTGGAGATAGTTCAAGAGTCTCAAGAATCATTTCAGCCATTTGTGACTTGCATATATCCAATCATAACCTTCTTAAACCTATTTCAATAGGAATAAAGTTAGGCAGCTCTTTTCTGCCCATGGGTCCTGTCCCCAGGCTTTAATAAAACCACCTCTTTGTGCCAAAAATAAAATAAAATAAAGTTAGATTAGAGGACTAAAAAGAGGAACATGGATTACATTAAAATCTTGGCTCTGCCACCTCCTAGTTGGGTAAGCTTGAGGAACATATTTAAAACAACGTGCAGCTCAATTTCCTCACTTATAAAATAGACACAGTATTACTGCCCAGAACTACAGCAGGATCCCATGTAATAATGAATGTAAAACCACCTGGAGCAGTTTTATTTGAAGGGATTAATAATTCATTTCCCCAAAACTCAAAATGAACGTATGACTCATATGAGAAGATATAATACACACAAATCATAATATAAAACAATTCAAACAATTCAGACTCTAAAAGATTTATCTATAACATAGAACCAATGAAAAATAAATAGAAAATTCTCTTAAAATATGTAAGGAGCAATCCAATTATTATGGCACAGGGTGGAGGATAATTTGGTGATATTAATGAGCCTATGGTTTAATATATAAAAATGATATTTATACATAAATTCAGAATATACTCACAGAACAATCTGTATTTGACCATATATTTTTCAGATAATTACCCACAAAATCTAGACAGAATAATCTTAGCATATTAAAAATAAGAGTCTTTTTAAAATGAATGCCAAAAAACTGCCAAAGCAGTAAAAATATAAGAACAACCATAGCTCTTTAGGAAAGAAAACTGAAGTCTATTTCCAATGCATAAGATTAGTTACTTAAAATAAAATTTTATTCAGTTGCCATTTCTGAAATAAACAATAATAGGTAGCATTTACCATATAAATGGTAATTATTAGCCACTACATTAAGTACCTAAGCTACTGTACGTTAATCCTTACAACAACCATATAAAATCCTATAAAATGCCGTTTTAGAGATTGGGAGAGTGAAATTTGAGCAAGATTAAAGAATTCTGAGTCACACAGCTATAATTTCCCCTAGAATCCTGGCCCTTAACCAGTATGAGAAACATCTTTACATGCATAAGAAAAACACCCATATTTTACTAGCTAATGAGACAGAGCACTTAAGTCAGGAAAACGTTATTTAAAATGAAAATCCAGCTTTTGTCCCCAATTTTTTTAATGTATTCAATTGCCAACTGTGGAATCTTCATTTTCTGTTTTCAGATTTAAAAATCAGAAGTCAGAAACTGTCATCTGTAAAAATCAGTGGCAGAGAGGTTAGCATAATGACTGGAAACAAAAGAGCCACATCAAAGTGGAACCTCCTCCTTGGGGAAGAGACAGAGAGAATATTCTCCTCCTCCATATAAATTCAAAACTGGAAAGGAGAAAGGGTGAGGTAAAGAATAAAATCAATATTAGTACATCTTCAAAAATGATGTTTCTTGAAGGGATGATAAATGGATGAACTAAATGGTTAGTTTTATACTTGTAACTTACCTAGGTTTCTCCTGCGTGATTAAGATTTTTACTTTATTAAGAGCCTTCTTGGCCCCTGTGGCTGCAGCCAGCTTATTATGAGCTGGGCTGGAATGTGGGCTGGATATGTAAACTTTTTTCCCAGGGCCCGAAGGAGGCTTGGATGGAGAGAAGTCTGAGATGAATACAATACCCTCGCTGGTGAGTACTGTATTGAGAGAAGCAAAACTCTGATTAAAGTTTAATCAAGTTTAGCACAGAGTTTTATTCCAATACAATTTTGAAAGCAAGGTAATGATAATTTTAATAATATAGAACTGGCAGTATAATGTAGTCATAACTGAAATGTTCTCCAAGTTGAAGTGAAACAGGTGGTCCATTACAATTCATCAGAGGCCTCCACGCTCAGCTTTCTAAATTAATGTTTTATATTAAAAAGATACCAGAAGGTTACTAGCAGAAAGAACAAATGTTTGTTCTTCCAAATAAATTCAGTGCACGGACTTTCATTAAAAACCTTTCCTCATTATATCTTGTAACTTCAAAGTCCAAGACTTTTCAGAATATAAAATTCACAGAAGAAAAAAAAAAATCCCATACTAAGAGGCTTTGCATATCACGTTTAGTTCTGAGTTCAAATATTTGATGTGGTACTAATTTTTGATGATTATCATGAGTTACTCAGTCTAAATATACATTTCCTTTTTTCTTTTGGAGCATCAGACTGAACCTTAGGAAGTACAAGAGTGTTCTTTTTCTCTTTATATCCAGAGTAAAAATAGAGAGCCAACAATGGCTTACTACGTGTACAGGAAACAGAAGTATTCAAGAAGGCAGCACTACATTTAGCAATACAAATTTTGCCTTTTTATGACCGAAAAATAATCTCCCTCGAAACTGGGGCTAATACACGGATAACAGAAATCTCATCTCTCCTGGCTCCCTGCAGTTAGTGAGGCTGGTTTAAGCACAGGGAGCAAAGAAGTATTCAAGAGTTATGACAGCCCTAGCACATTTGGTGTGAGTAAATCAAAGATGTTAGGTGAACGGACGCTTTGAAATATACTGTGCTTTCATCAACCAAATTACAGAGATGCAGTAAGTTAGCCTGAGGCCTTCTCTCCTTTTCAGATGACAGGACTCCCTTCCAAGGTCTCATTCATTCCTCTTCTTTTGTGATGCCCTCCCTCAGTCAGTGGATCAGCTAAAGCAGCCCTCCTCTGTGTCCCCACAGCACTGCATTTCATAGCACACTAAGGAGTGAGTGCACGTACGCACAAGTGCACATACACACACCATATACGTGTATATAGACACAACACCTAACCACACACCATTGTAACTCCACAGTTGGGTTTCTGCAGGTACACATTTCTCTTCCTTCTTCAGCACACAAATATACACTCAGTAATAACAAATGCTGGTAGATAAAAGTTAGAATTCTGAGTCACTCAAATTCAGGAGAAACATTCTCTCCCACAACTAATTCCCTTACCTCTTTCCAATTTTTGATCAAATATCAAAATCAAGCCTACTCTGACCACTTTATCTAATACAACAACCTGCCCATTCCCATCCCTCCCATTCCCCTTCATTCCTTTTATACCTAGGATATAGTAATAGCTCAAGGAATACCTGTTGGATAATTGAATGAAGAATATTTCCCAAATCATTTAATCACAAAAACATGTGTCTAAAAACAAATCACATTTTTAGATCAGTGGCTCAGTGAAAACACTAAGAGTACACGGGCAAAAATAACCTCTGCAAGAAAAAATTCCCTTGGGCTTATTCTGTGCCACACATGCATCTGTTTATGGCACTCAAAACACAAGCATGAATTTAAATGATTTTTTAGAAGGAAGAAGTGAATTTGGCCACATACTAAACGAAACCTTTGACTCAAGTTCTTTATGTGTTCCTAGAAAAACAAATTTCATTAAGCCCGAATTAGAACAGCACAGCAACTCTCTCTCCAGCTAATCAAAGTCTATTTACAAATTCAACACAGTGAAGGTACAGCTTGCGGCTTTAAAGTTCTAGCCATCAAAATACTTGCAAATGATATGGGATTATGATTTAGTATCTGTATTAGATGCTCCAGATATATGACTTCTCTACTTTGCTCAGTTGTTGGAATACATCAGCTGTATGACATGGGTTGTATCTTATACACAAAGCATTAACTGTATTATAAAGAACTCATTTCCCTCAAGTAATCTATTACTCACAAGTTAAACGGGAGGGATCAAAAGGGTCAAAAGAAAAAGAAAGGATGTTATCTGCATAGCTCTTCTTCCACAGTTTGGTGCCAGTATCCGCATTCCAGAGCACAATATAATTTGGTGGGTGGATAGCAAGTAGTAAATCTCGGGAAGCATCTTGATTCCATAACCACTGAACATCTGTAAAGACCAGATGAAGGCAAAATTCAGAAATCACTTCAGAACACTTGGTTAATGTATCCTTGACATTTAGGGTTTGTTTTTGGTTTTTTTCCCCAAAGTTCTTAAAATCCTAACTTCTCTCCCTATGTTCCATATATGCGTATATATGTCAAGACTGCACAGGAAAAGTGTAGTTTTATATTAAGATGAGCTGTCTGGACCTTAGAATCTCAAGATAAACATTTTAAAATTACTTTAAAGAAAATACAAGACAATTTTCACTAATCATTACTTAAAACTTTGCATCAAAGACTGTGCTGGCCATGATCAACGTCAGACTCTCCTAACATCTTTGTGAAATTACTTAATGGAACTTTGCAGAGTTTCATATTTTTTACACGATAATAAAGACAATAAATATCTTGTTCAGTACCAAGTACAAAGTACTCAACAAATATTTTTTACATAGTCATTTAAAAAATACACTCAGTCAAGACAGCCACTTAGTCAAAGCCCTGAGCCAAAAGAATACTGTATTGGTTTTAGGTCAGTAACATAAGCAAATAATCTATATGAAAATGAAAATAAAATCTGGATCATCTCTACTAATAGAAAGTAAGCATTGAGGGTTAAATTAAAATAGCAATTCAGCCAGTATACTTTATCACAGCTTAGATTATAAGACTTTTATAGCAGCTTAATTTTTCTCATCATGCTTGATTGAGGCCAATGCTAAAATTAATACAATTTACTAAAGCAAAAATCAGCTGAGATTTGAGGAAATATGCATAGAAATATATTGATAAGGATAAGAAAGCTAGATTCAGATCAATAAAACACGCTAAACACAATCAAGAGTTAACTGGGAAGTGATGAAACTAAAAGGGGAAAAAAAAACACTCTGAGACTAAGTGTGTTAATATGAACACTTAGCAGAGCACAGTCTTTCCTCACCCTGAATAGGTTTGGCATGCTCTTGGATCTCACACTGAGCTACTCCCGCTGCTACATCCCAAACGATGATCTTTCCATTGATATCAGCAGAAGCTAAGCGCAAGGAATATGGTGAGCCAATGTTATGGTGATAATTTTCCCTGGCCCATTTAACCTAGTATCAAGAAGAAATCATATCAAGTAAATACCTGTATTTGATGAAACTAAACACAATTTTCATAAAACATCAACCAAAACCCATACTACATTTTACACTTATGTCACAAAAATATTTAGAAAGAATTAACAGGAAACTGTTTTCCATCTCAAAAGTCAGACTTTCATTATTTGTGATTTTTTTTAAGTTGCAATACAATCATAAAATCTAATCATGACAAAACATCTAAAAGCCTAAATTATTAAGCAGAATGGTTTTCTGTACTCTGCTCTCCTAATTAAAAGGAGACAACTTCGAACTACCAAAGCCTTGCAGAGGAAAAAATGGAAAAAACAAAGCAAGCAAAAAGCCCTTTAGCTGTTCTTCTCATGAAACTGGAAAAAAGATGTTAATTTTTTCCTTTAAAAAAAATATGCTTCATACCTCTAGCAATATCCTAAGAATGGAGTTTTTACAACAAAAACCACAAGATTCCAGCACAAATCAGGTTAATCCTGAGCATTAAATATTGACAGAGTCATGAATAAAACACACGTCTTCATTTCACCCTAAGCCATCGCCTTCCATGGCCACAACCTTCCCTCTGTTCTAGATCAGCAACCAGTTTGTCTTCTTCAAAGCATTTAACAAACAACAATTTGTAATGGCTTTGTTTACCCCGTTCTGACCCATCACCGACCACGAACTATAAGCTCCATTGGGTAGGATCACGCAGGCCTTGTTCACATTTCTATCCCCAGATCTATCCACCACCAAAGCTAGTGCTCAACGAGCATGTGTTTAATAAATGAACCCCAACACCACAGAATCTTCAAATATATACATATATAAACATATGTATACAGACACGTGTGTACATATATGTAAACGCACACTCATACGTAATGCCAAGGTAGGAAGCGTGTGCCTTTCTTGTAGTATTCCTAAAGAATTCATTAAAAAGATGGAAATAAAAAGTTTTCTGAACTTCAGTACTGATAAGCCTTAAGATCCTGTTATAATACATCTTTTCCTCAGGCCAGAATTGTTTTTAAATAAAATGTGTAAGAGTGTGTACACGCACACATGCACATGTTTGAATGTGTGTTTGTGTGTGCATTTATATTTAGTGTATGTATATTCAATCTGCATTCTTTGCAGATGTGTTTGACCACTCACTGAAATTTGTGATTTCATTTAAAAAAGTAGTACTTGCAGCACTTCCACAATCAGACACAAGCAGAGTAACCCAACATGCATGTGTATTCCCAGGTGAAACAAAATGTTCTTATTTCAGCTCTCATAATGCAAACGAATATCTTTTTTGTGGTCTATACAGCACCACTTTTTTTTTTGGGGGGGGTGCATTTCTGTGCTCTTTATTGATGATTTCACTGTTCAAATTCAAAATGGTCCCCAAGCACATGGTGAAGTGCTGCCTAGTGGTCCCAAGCACGAGAAGTTCCGATGTGCGTTACGGAACAAACCTGGGGGATAAGCTCTGTTCAGGCAGGAGTTGTAGTGCTGCTGCCTGTGAGTTCAATGTTAATGAATTAACAAAACAAACACAAAACAAAGTTATATATTGCTCAGCTGATGAAAATGTTGTGACAAGAGGCTCACAGGAACCTAACCTGTATTTCCCCTATGAGCAATCAACATTTCAGTATTTGTTAATTTCAGTGTTTGCAGCAACTTTACAGAATAAAACTATCATGGATAAGAACTGATTTCATCTATGTATATAAGTGCTTGAATTCCATTCAGGTAAACCCCACGCAGTGTGTGTGTGTGTGTGTGTGTGTGTGTGTGTGTGGTATTTTTTTAATCACCTAGATATATCATAATCAAACTACTGAAAACTAAGGATAAAGAGAAAGTCTTGAAGGCAGTCAGACAAGAAAACATACACTGCAGGTAGAGAAATAAAGGTAAGAATTTCTCTCAGAAATTATGCAAGCTGAAAGACAGTGGAATATCTTTCAAGTATCACAAGATCAAAAATGGGTGAAACATCTTCATAGGCAAATAAAAACCAAGAGACTCAACCTATATTAGATAAACACCTCAAGGACTTTAAGGAAATTCTTCAGGCAAAGGGAATATAATACCAGACTGAAACTTGGATCCACATAAAGAAATAAAAATGCCAGAAATGCCAAAAAGATCAGGGAAATGGAGGGGAGGGAGAATATATTTTTTCAAAATAAAACCCTATGCCTACTTAATGGCAGGAGACTGAATGCCTTCCCCCCAGGCTCAGGAACAAGACAAGAGTATCATCTCACTACTCCTATACGTTATAGTATCAACCCTAGCCAATGCAATATGACAAGAAAAAAAAAAACAGAAGACCCACAGATTATCAATGAAAAAAAGTGAACTGTCATTATCTGCAGATAACATAACTGTCTATGTAAAAAATCCCCTCAAAAGTTACTAGATCTAATGGGTTTAGAAAGACCACAGGACATAGGTCAATATGCAAAAAACAGCTGCATTTCTCCCTACTTCACATTACATATAAAAATTAACTCAAAATGGATCAAGAACCTGAATGCAAGAGCTAAAACGATAAAATTCTTAGAAGAAAACAAAGGTGTAAATCTTAACAATGGAAGAAAAAGAAGAAAAATAGATAAATTGGACATCAAAATCAAAAACTTTACTGTTTCACTGGACACCATCAAGAAAGTATAAGACAGCTTACAGAATGAGAGAAAATATTTACCAACCATGCATCTCATATGGGACTTCTATGTAGAATACATAAAGAATTCTAACAGCTCAATAATTAAAAGACAATTTAAAATGTGCCAAGGACTGAACAGACACTTTTCAAAGAAGATATACAAATGGCCAATTAACACATGAAAAGATGCCCAACATCATTAGCCACCAGGGAAATGCAAACCAAAACCACAGTGAGAACCTCTTCACATCCAACAGGATGGCTAGTATCAAAAGAACAGATAATAACAAATGTTGGTGAGGATGTGGAGAAACTAGAATCCTCATATACAGCTAGTAGGAACGTAAAATGGTAGAGCCTCTTTGGAAAGTCTGGAAGTTTCTCAAAAAGCTAAACACAGAGTTACCATATGAGTCAGCAATTCCACTCCTCTGTACATACCCAAGAGAAATGAAAACACATGTTCACACAAAAACTTGTACATTAATGTTCACAGCAACATTATTCATAATGCCTAAAAAGTGAGAAATATCCAAATGTCCATTAATACATGAATGTAGTATACTGGTAGAGTAGAATATTATTCACCAATAAAAAGGTACAGAGTACTGACACATGCTAAAACACAAATGAACCTTGAGTGAAAGGGGAAAGAAGCTAGGCACAAAAGGACACATATTGTGTCATTTCATTTATATGAAATGTCTAGAATAGACAAATCTAGAGACAGAAAGTATTCTACTGGATACCTAAGGATGACGGGAATGAGGGGATGGGGAGCAGCTACTAACAGATGCAGGGTTTCTTCTCAGTGTGATCTAACTGCAGTGCTGGCTACATAATTCTATGACTATATTAAAAACCTTGGAATTGTACACTATAAGCTGGTAAATTTTATGCTATATCTCAACAAAACTGTTATCAAAAAGAAATAAACCAAAACACCCAGATCTCTAATCTTCCCTAAGATTTCAGATCACTGTAATTCAATTGCACCAGGTGTCTCAGACTTTGCATGTTAAAAACTTACACTCACTGATTTCACACCTATTCCCCTTGTCATAGCAACACTATCATTCAGTTATTCAAAGGGAACTTGGAATCATTCTAGTCCCTGACTCTCCCTAAGCTGATTACTATAAAAGCTATCCAGTTTATTTCTTCAGCAGCTCCTGAATATGACTCCTTCCTGCCTCAGCTTTATTTTTGGCCCTTAGAATTTCCTGCCAAAATTTCTGCAGAAGTCTCCTAAATGATCTCACTGCCTCATCTTGCCTTTCTCCAAGAAACCCTCCACTGCTGCCAGAGTAAATTTTTCTAGAATACAAACACAGCCTTATCAATTGCCTAGTTAAAAATCCAAATTCCTTCAGAACCTTCTAACACTTTTAGGACAGATGAATTTCCCTGGCTGCTTCCTCTTCCATCATCCTTTAGCCATAGCCCAACTTCTAGCCATCTTTATACCCCACTACTTACCATTGTGTACAGTCTTCTTTTTACCTGTGGTACTCCTTCTCCCATTCTTCACTTGGTTAACTACTGTTTACCAGTCCCCAAACTGGAAAGACTGCTGTGATCCTCCCCTGATCCCTACGACTAGGTGTTAGGTAGCCTCCTTTGTCCCTACGCATTCACTTAGCATACTGTATGTCTGTGTCTTCGTTGTTCCTCACTAGAATTGCTTGAGGGCTTTCATCTCTATATCCTTAGCATAAGCTAAGTGCTCAAAACTAATGAATGAATGAGTGTTCTGGTAAATGGCGGAAAAGGTGTTATCCATCATCTTTAAAATCACCTAAGACCTAGTATTTAATAGCTCATCCTGGATTGTCATTAAATCATATATACGGGAATGTGAGGCTACCCCAAATGAATTATTATGTTTAAGAGCTATTTAACATTTACATATATCACTTAATAAGAATCTAGTGATATTTAAAACTTCAGAATAGGCAATATGTTATAGGGTGAAAGTGGGATCTGACTTACCTTGACCACATCAGCTTTATGTTTTTCTAAAACTTGAAGAGTCTGGGCAGTATTGGAATCGATCACTACCACAAGTGAGTGACATCCATAAGCAATTAAACCTTGCCAGCCCCTAACAAAACAGTGATATTAAAATTTAAGTACAAAACAAAGACTTCTCTCTTGCCACGAGGCATGCTAGAATCAATCACAAATCTAATACGTACTACCATGAACAAAATCATTATTGAAGCATACAGGCCAGTTTTTTGCCTTATCCCATTTAAATAAAATGTCCAGCGAACCTAGAAATGCTGACATTCGTTTTTCATGTGACATGCACATACACCCCTGAAGATGTAAAAACATACCCCTGTTGTCTCTTTGTCTTTAAGGACATGCACTTTGTCTTACTCAACTTCGAATCCTGAGATCATGTTCCGTAAGCATCTGTGACTAGTCCTGCTCCTTCCAACCAGATAAAAAGACAAACACTGGACAGAAGGTTTCCTCCCTCTTGCCAACATTCCCAGCAGCCCCACCTGCAGAATTTCGCTTTATATCTAAGCATTAACGTCCAGAGTTGCAGTGCTAGTTTACAGTGAAAAGATCAAGGTGAGATGACAGGTGAGGGTACAGGCGCCTGGCACAGGGTCTGGCAAGTTGTGGAATGACGAAAGGTAAGAAACAGGGATATGAAAGAGAGAAGAGGGAAAGATAAACTGGGGAGGAGACAGGGAGTAGGGGAGCTGACGGCGGAGGGAGAGGAGCCTGGAGTTGGGAGGACAGGTGAAGACGGGCAGGCTTGGGCAAAGAGAAACACATCTGGGAGAAACAGGACAACTATAATAGCACAGGGAAGGTTCACACCTGGGGCATTTCCTGTTTTCATAGTAACAACAAAAACCCAGCATTTAAAGAAAACCTCTAGCGCGAGGGCAGCACCAGGCTTGGCGAGGCCAAAGGAACCAGGGGGTGAAACCTCTTGTTCCCCTTCCCCTACACACTCATGGCCCAGCCCGGCGGCCTCGAAGCCCGGCGCCCTCACCAGTCCACCGCCGCCTTGTTGTGAGCATTGAGGGCCCCAGTGAGGGTGCGCGCCGACACCTTGAAGTTCACAGTGAAGGGCAACATCGCCTCTGCTCAACTCGGCCCTCGGCGCCCCCCTGACCCGGCAACCAGGAAGCGGCGGCCACTGCGCTTCCGTTCCTAACAGAGTCCGGGTGGCTCTGTGAGCGCCGCCGTTTGGTTCCGTCGGGTGCAAGTTTCCACCACCTTGGATTCCGCCTTCTTCAGGTTCCGGGCTCTCCCCTTCAGCCTCCCTCAAAGTCCGCCCGCCCACCTGGTGCTGCCAGCCGGAGCAGGGAGGGGCTGTGCTGCTTTCCACTGTTTTCTTCACGTTGGGACTGCGTAGGCCTCTGTACCCTGCAGGAAATCCTGAAAAGCAAGAGCTGAAAGCCCCAGTTAGCCTTTCTGACTTTGGTCTGCTAGCTCAGGACAGTGACCAAATGCCAGGCACTGTCGTAGGTATCGGGTGTGAGGCGAAGAGGAGAAGCAGAGAACCTCAGCTCTCAAGAAGTTTATAGAACAAATAGAGCAATATGACGGGGTGAAATGGATAGAAGGAATGAGATGAATGGCTCTAAAATAAACGATTTCTAAATATGGAGATCACTCCACTTCTGGTCTTGAAAATACTTGGAAAAAATACATGACTTCTGAGGCCAGATGCTGGGGGGAAGGGGGGGCAACTTTCATTTTGCACGTTCTGCTCTGTCTCTCTCCTCTGTGCTCAGGGCATCATCTACACTGTTGATCCATAAGAAGAGTGTGTAAAGCAGCTAAAGCATTTATTTGGGGTTTTACGGGTTGTAATCCATGGAGCACAGAGTTCGCTGAAATCAAATGTATTCTCTGAATTGCTAGGGAGTGGGAGCTCAGTCTGAAAAAGGCAAAAACCGCAAGGTTACATACTTGTTGGGAAAGATTTAAGATTGGTGCTGGCAGAGTTTGCAGTCACCATCTGATATATGATCTAGCTAACAGGTGTTATATTCTCCTTATTTTGATTCAAAATAGAATGATGTATTCCGGGAGGTGATGGAGTTGGAACTGACAAAAGTCAGAAGTTCATGGTGTTCGGAGGACTGAAGCAGGAGAGGGGCAGAGGTCGTACTACTTCTGCATCAGCATCCATTCCACTCTGTTTGGTGACTCTCTTACAATCCTTACTTCATTTTGAATCTTTCACAATACCTTTACTGTTAACACTTGCCATGATTTTTTTCCCAGCAATAATTTTGGCAGATGTCTGTTTCTTCTCCAATGTATTCGACACAAAGGACAAAATAATTGGTGATGTTGTCACTTCATGGGTTTTTTTGTGCACCTTCTCACTCTGAGAAAACAGATTTCTCAAAGATCATCTCCAAAAGCATCTTAGTAGTTAAAGTCAGTGAGCGTGTTTTGTCTCTTAATTGTTCTCTGGCAACTGCTGCTGCTTCCCTTTCCCGTCCTGCCCCACATCCTTCCCTACTGCTTTTGGGGCAATCAGAGATGCCAATAACCATAGGTCTAAATTTATCACTCCCTTATTTAAAACTCTTTGATGCTTCCTATGACAGAACTTATGAACTGGCTCCCCAAATTCATTTTCCCCTTCTTTCATAGGGACACAAACACCAATTGTATCTGAGCACATTGTCATTCCATGAAATGAACACATATCCCAGCTTCCCTTACAACTAGATCAAGCCATATGACTAAATTCTGGCCAATGTGATATGAGTGGAAATAATGTATAGTGACCTCTGAGAAATCACTCTCCTGTGCTATACTGTGTTATTTCAATATACATACCCCACATGATTATTATCTGCATATATGTATGTCTAGCAAGGGAGACTAACATGTTTTTAGGCAACTGCAATATTGGAGAAAAAATACACTCTACTAGACTTTGAACTCCTTTCAGAAAGGAACCAAATCCCAATTATTTTTTGTCCCCAATGCCAACCACTCATCCTGATATGCAGTTGGTCCTCAATAAATGATCAAAGGAGCAGGAGTTTTAAGTGGCCATAAGCATAAGGTTAATCAGGGCTTGAGGTGACAACAAGGAGTCAGTGATGGTGCTCACAGATGGAGAAGAACAGCAAGTAACTCTCTTGGAGGAAGAGGGATTAATTAGTTTAAATCTGCAAGCTACCTTGAGGACATGAATGTTGAGTACTCAGGGCAAGGATGGAGAACCAGCTGAAGCTGGGCAAGGATATGTCTCCCTTGGTACGAGTGTGAATCAAATATGTTAATGGGTATTTATGGCCTTCTCTGAAGCATCTGTCTTGGCCAGTGTGGAGACAGATTATTGAACATGCTGAACTATTAATCTCTTTAATAGGACAGAACCTACACTCCTCTTCCATGCCTGAAGAACTACTATTTTGCCTCATGCCCATGCCAGAAGACATCAACTCCAAAGCATGGTAATGGGGACCCAGAGCATCTGTCCACTTCTATATCACTTGCATCCGTAAACTAGAGTAACTTTTTTTTCTCTCTTTCTTTTAAAGTTGGTGGAGATAAGAGTACAAGTGATCTTTGGACAACACGAGTTTGGACTTGACTAATATGCAGATGTTTTTCAGTAAATACAGGACTGCAAATGTATTTTCTCATCCTGATGGTTTTCTTAACATTTTCTTTTCTTTAGCTTACTTTATTGTAAGGATACAACATATAACATATAACATACAAAATATGTGTTAATCAACTGTTTATGTTATCGGTAAGGCTTCTGGTCAACAGTGGGCTATTAGTAGTGAAGTTTTGGGGAATCCCAAATTTATATGCAGACTTTCAACTGCATGGGGGTTGGCACCCCAAAACCCTCATTGTTCAGTGTCGAGTGTATAATGGTGATATTTCTTTAAAAAAAGATTTTATTTATTTATTTGAGAGAGTGAGAGAGAGCATGAGTGAGAGAGAGCATGAACGGGGGTGAGGGGTGGAGAGGCAGAGAGAGAGGGATAAGCAGACTCCCTGCTGAGTGGGGAGCCCAATGTGGGTGGTTAGATCCCAGGACCTGAGCTACCCCAATGGTGATATTTCTGATTGCTATTCTGCTTAGGGATAAAGATGGAAATAATAGATAACTGAACAAAGCACTTACTTCATTAACTTTCCAAGGTCATGTCAGAAAAAACGATGGTAAATAGATTCGAACATGATGGAGATGTTGAGGATGAAGATGATGAAGTCGATACCTTACTGCTGAAGACTCCTGAAATGTCAGGTGCTATGATCTACCCTTTACCTGTATCATCTCCCTTAATCGACTCAAATTCACAAGTCCATGATCACAAGTGTCCTATAGATGACAAAACAAAGATTCATAGAGTTGTCTGAAGTTATGCAGCCAACTGGAGGCAGAGCCAGTGTTGGAACTCAGGTGAGTCTGATTCCAAAACTCAGGCTGTTAACTATTGGCCACACTATGCTGCCCTCCATGACACAACCCCCTCCACAGCCCACCTGCAGTGAATTCCAGCTGCCTGGAAGCACAGGATTAATCAACAACACAGATTTATAGAGATAGGATTCATAAACCCTATAATTCATCTACCGAACATGCACAACTTGACGATGTTCACAGAGTTTTGCAGCCATCACCTCCATCAGTTTTAGGATGTTTTTAATCACTTCGTAAAGAAACCTTGCCCCCATTAACAGTCACTCCCCATTTCTTCCCGACCTCCCTGGCCCCTTCCCCGTCCTTAGGCAGCCACTGCTCTCCTGTCTCCATAAACATGTCTCTTCTAGACGTTTCATATGAATGGAATCATATCCCACGTGGCCCTTTATGCCTGGCTTCTTTCTTTTAGCGTAGTGTTTTCAAGGTTTGTTCGTGTCGAAGCATGCATCCGTACCTTATTCCTTTTCATTACTGCATAACATTTCATCGTTTGGATATACCACCTTTTATTTATCCACTCCCCCATTGATGAGCATTTGTGTCGTTTCTACTTTCCAGTTATAACAAACGCCGCTGCTAGGAACATTCCTGTACACTTTTTTTGTGTGAACATGTCTTTTCGTTTCTCTTGGGCATATATTAAGGAGTGGAATTGCTGACTCCTATGGTAACTCTGTGTTGAACTTCTTGAGGAACTGCATGACTGTTTTCCAAAGAGGAAACTTTCTCATCAGCAGTATAAAAATTCCAATTTCTCCACATCCCAACATTACTTAACTCTGTCTTTTTTTTTTTATTATAGTCATTCTAGTGGGTGTGAAGTGGTTTTGATTTGTATTTCCTGGATGGCTAATGATACTGAGCATCTTTTTATGCGTTCAATCCTGATTATATATCTTCTTTGAAGAAATGTCTATTCAGATCCTTTGCTCATTTTCAAGTTTGGTTGTCCTTTTACTACTGAGTTGTAAAAGTTCTCTGTATACTCTAGATACATAGTCTCTAATTAGACTTGAAAAACTTTCTTGCATTCTGTAGGTGACAACATAGATTTGAGCCACTTGGCTGAGCAAATATTGCCAATAAGTTTAAGCAGTGCAGTCAAGATCTTATTCCCCAAACTAAGAAAGATAGCAGTGACCTGGTTCTGGCCTAATTGTGGAAAGGGAAGGGAACATAATTCTGGTGCTGAAACACTGTGTATGAGAACACGGTGCCCCCCACCCCAGGAATAATGAAATTGACCGAAGAGAAAAATCTGTGGATCTCTTATTACTTCCTTCATTTTATTTTTTATTTTACTATTTGTACAGCTTTAATTTGTGTTTTTCTTTTAATTTATTTCACTTGAAATGGCAGGTTAATGAACAGCTTCAGGCACACTGTTGGTAAACATGCTCAATTTCTGACCTTCACACTTGTCCAAATGTCTTCTAGCTCTCCTGTGTGCATGAGTCCGTGGAAACCAAGCATGGTATGTAATCCTTTACAGGTCTTTTTAATGCCCTTCTATTACTAATACAAAGTCTCATTTGTTGAGGATTTAATCATGTGTTAGGCAGTGAGATAAGGACTTTCCAAGTTAGCTAAGCTTTTTAGTCCTTGCTCTGGATTTTCTTCTCCTGGCCCTCCTCTCCTAGGGGAGTCATGGACAGTTATCATCAGTAAAAGAAAAGCATTTGTT